GCGGGTCGCGAGAAATATTTGTCAACACGATCCCCGCGGCAGGCAGCGCGGGCAGCAGACCGATTCCGAGAGTCCTTTGCGTCGCTCTGTCTCCCTCGCACTCGTAGGACGTCCTGTGTCGGTGCGAGAGAGACAGAGCGACGGAAAGGACTCTCGGCGTGCAGGCTCCGAGACACGTCCGAGGCAGCGCGACGGCCGAGGTCACGTCCTAATGTATTCACGCGGGGCGGGGCGTGCCAAGGCGTGCCGCAGACACTACTGTGCGGCCGGGGCGGGGCGGGGCGGGGCGGGGCGGGGCGGGGCGGGCCGAGAGGTACCGACGGAAACGATAAACCTCCCCCAAACAACCGTCGAGGCCGCGGCACAGCCTCAGCCTGCGCGTTCTAGAACCCAACCTGACTCAACCCAACCCAGCCAGACTCTTGACCCGCTGCCTAGGGCCCTGGCGCGTCCAGCACTCTGCCCGCACTCGGCTGCGGAGAACGGAATGAATGGAATGGAAGGGAACGACGAGTGCACCGTTTACCAACGCGGCCCGGCCCGGCACGTCACCCGCCCGTCGGCAGCAGGCCGATTCCGAGAGTCGATTTTCGTCCCTCTCGCACTCACGGGGCGTCCCGTATAGGTGCGAGAGAGACAGAGCGACGAAAACGACTCTCTGGGAATCAGTGTGCAGTGGGCACCGCCCCGAGCTATACAAGTTTGGTTGAGCGCCGCGAGCGCCATCGGGCGGCAGCGATGCGCACCACGCAGTGCAGTGCACAGCGCTGCCTCGACCCAGCGTAGCGTAGCGTCGAACACTCAGGGCTCGCCGCAGGGCCGCCGCTAGGGCTGTCTTGCCCGCCGCGGTGAAGTGAGTGCTGCCCTCTCTGGTGCTGCCCGGGCGCGCTGTTTGACAGACAGGTCAAGCCCGGTCTGGCGCGGCCTGGGCGGCGTGCACCGCGGCCGCGAGGCACCAGGCCGCCGGCACCACGTCGACCACGTCACCGCGCACTATCAGCACACGGTGAGGCCGGCGGGGTCAGGGCCAGGGCCGCGCGGGGGAGGGGGGGGGGGCAAGCACGACGGGAAGAGGAAGGGGAAGGCGAATTCGGGGCGAACCAACAATAATTTACCGCCAAAGTGCGCGTTTTCAGTGGCGGAAAACCGAGAACGTCGAGTGGAAGACAAGGGAACGAGCCCGGCGGAGGCGCGGCGGAATGGCAGGTGCGGCTGCCCGCCGCGGCCGCCAGGCGTCGCCACCGTCGCTGTAAACAAGGATCAGCTGACGAGCCGGCGGCGTCCTTACTAACCCTTTTCAGCTGCTGCTTCATGATGTTCTGCAGCTCGTTGCGGATCACGCTGAACTTCATCATGGTGTCCGAGCTGAACATGGACGTCCCGAAGGCCAGCCCCGGGTAGTCGGCGCACCGGCGCTGCCGGCGCCGCGCCTCGCGGGCCGCCACCATCTCCGCCGACTCGCTGGTGCAGCGCAGGCTCGCCAGCTCCTGCATCTCGGGGTCCTCGACGACGGGGTCCTCGGAGCCGTCCGCCGGCGGCCGCTCCGGCAGCAGCTCGGGCAGCAGCTCCGGGGGCGGCGACGGGGGCAGGGGGACGGGGGAAGGGGTACTCCTAGTCTTGAGGTGGGCCACGCTGGGGGGCGGCGAGGGGGCGGGGGCGGCCTGGGGCTCCGCAGCCTGCGCGGGCTGGTTAGGCTGCCGAGCCCCGGCGGGCCGCCTCCGCCGATGACGTGAAGAGGGCGCCGGCGACGGTGACGGCGACGGCGAGGGTGACAGCGAGCTTGCGGGCTGCGGCGGTGGCGACGGTGGCGGGGAGGGCGGCGCGGCCGCGGAGGGCCCGCTGCGCCACCTGTTGAGCCTCGCGTTGATGCCCTCGGGGAGGGGCCGCGGGGCGGCGGGGGGTGCGGCGGCCGCCGCGGCGGGGGTGGCATCCCCAGAGCCGCCGCCGCCTTTGCCGCGGTGACGGCGTCGACGCTCGCCTCCGCGACGCCCCGAGGACGTCGCCTGGGCGGAAGCGCCGGTCGCGTCGTCTGCAACGTGTTGCTGCGGGTGCGGCGGCGGCAGCAGCGGCCGCGGCGGCTGCGTTGGAGGTTGCTGCGGCGGTTGCTGCTGTGGTTGCTGCGGCGGCGGCCTGCGATGGCGGTGCCTCCTGCCGCCGCCACTGGCCGAGGCGGCCGAGGGCTCTGCTCGCTCCGCAGGCGCAGAGCCCTGACGTGTAGGCGCGGCCAGCCTGCCGCTGTTGTTGACGTCCATGGTGCAGCGCGGCGTTTCCCCGGCACGGTGCACTACTCGAACACAGTCGTCTTCCTGCCTGCCATGCTCCTCACATCACTTGGTCACTGGCACAAATAAAGCAAGTCGCCGCTCGGCAAGTCGCTGGCGGAGGCAGACGGCCGCGGAGGAGGAACAAGAGGAATAAAAAAGAAGACGGCGACGCGGGCGCGCTCTGGCGGCGCGAGGCGGCGACTCGGCAGCACGGCGCGGCGAAGGCAGAACAGCCGCGCGGACGTGGCGGACGTGGCGCCCCTGGCGGCGGCGCGGCGAAGCGAGGCAGTCGCGCCGCGGCTGCGGCGGTGCTCGGGCAGGCGCTGCTTGTCCTTGCCGACGTCGACGTCGACGGCCAGGGCGGCGTGGCGGCGTCCACGTGCTGCTGCACCTTGCGCCCCGGGGAGGGCTTGGTTGTCATCCAGGCCCGCGACTGGAATGCAGAGTGCGGTGGCTGGGGTGTGCCATATTTGCCCGGCAGGGCGCGCTGGCGGGCTGGTGGCCTGGTGGCCTGGCGGGCCGCGGTCGGCAGTGCGGCCCACGAGTGTAGGCACGTAGGCAGCCGGCCCTCCTCTCTCCTCCTCACTATTTTGAGAGCGACTAGCACGCCGCTGCCGCCGCTGCTTCAGCCTCAGCCCCGCGCTGCCGCCGCCTTCGCGCTTCGCAGCAGCTGGCGCGAGCTGGCGGAGCTGGCGCCCCGAGCGGCTTTGGCGCACCCCTTGGAGTGCCCCCGAGGGGGCCCAGGGGTGGGGGAGGCCGAGGGCTAAGTTTAGCCGGCTTGTGTTACCGCGCGTGCCCTCCGTCGGCACCGCCCCCCCCCCTCGGCCCCCTCCCACCAACGTCGCCCACATACTTCCGTACGACGAGTTGCATCCATATTGAGTCCACCTGAAAAACGGCGACCTGCTTCAGGAGGTTGTCTAGGCCGCCGGGGAAGTCCCGCGCCGAGCGACGCAACACCTTCGTCCTAATCACCCTGCCGTCATCAAGACCGTTGGAAACGAGAGCGATGACAGGACACGAAGAACACACAAGGAGAAGACACTGGAAACGAGACAATTCCATGGAGTGACTGACCTTCAACCTTGCGATGCCATGAACCACGACGAAGCAAGCAACCCTGTGCGTGAAGCACCCTGAGACGTCGTGACACGGATTGGCCCCTGAGGACTCGTTAACTAGACAACGCACAGTGGGCCAGAAGACCGGCGCCGTTGCCCAAAACTCTGGACGCGTTTGGAGCTCCAGAGCAGCTCAATTGGACTCGAACCGACCGTGTGACCCCACCAATGGATTCCTCGTTCGGAGAGCAATCCATTGGTGGGTTCACTCGTTCGGTTCTAGCGACTCTGGACCTCAAAGCGCGTCCGGGATTTTGACCGCCTCCACCAGTCTGCTCTGCTTGCCCACTGTGCAACACACGCTTAGCGGATTAGGACACGACGCAGCTCAATAGGCCGATGACGCGTGCCCTGAAGACCGTCACCACGCCGGACAGATCAGCACAAAGACATCAAACCAGCGATGATGACGTGTCGCGCCAAACAATGCACAATGCACGCGCGGCCCCGTCGCCAAGGGCCCGCCCCGCTCCACCCCGCCCCGCCCCGCCCCGCCACAACACGCACGTGCCTGGGGCGCTCTCCGGCGTTTGCCGAAAACTATCCAGAGATAGATAAGCGACGGGCTGAGTCTCTGAGGTCAACGCCTGCCGCGGCGATGTGCAGATTGCAGTCGCTGCGGCGGCCGATTCCGTCCGTCTCTCTCGCACTCGCGGGGCGTGCCCGGCGTGCCGCATGGGTGCGAGAGAGAGGCAGAACCACGAAAGCGCCGCTGGCGCTATCTGGGGACTGGTTCGCGGAAAACGGCAAACGGGGCGGCGGGGACGGTGGCGACGGGGACGTCGTGGACCCGAGGGGGACACGGGTGAAACCACGAGGTGGGTGACTCATGTGGTGCGCAGGGAAGGAGAGGGAGAGAGAGAGAGAGAGAGAGAGAGAGAGAGAGAGAGAGAGAGAGAGAGAGAGAGGGGGTGGGGAGGGAGAGGGAGAAAGAGGAGAAGGGTGAGTTGTACACACTGCCGCCGCGAAGGGTAGGTAGGCAAAAAGCGCGACGCCCCAAGGTAGAGACCCTTCCGTACAGTCGCGCATCGTCAGTCTCTCTCCAAGGCGGTGTGGGCCTTCCCCCTGGCCGCGCTGGCCGCCTCATTCCGGACGGAAGTAGAGGGGGAGGGGGAGGAATGCGGCCGTCGGAACGCCAGACGCGCGATTACGCTCGACGAGCGAGTATTGCCGCCCCGCCCTTTGCGCACGCCCCGCCCCGCCCCGCCCCGCCACGCCGGCGCCTCGCGTGGTGCGTTTTTGGGCGCGGCCACCCCAGGGCCGGGCGGGGCCGGACGGGGCCAGGCCGGGCCTAGCTGCCCAGCGAGCGGGCTGGCCGGAGCGACTTGTTTGTAAACACTGCCGGCCATTCGCTGGCTTCGCTGGCTTCGCTGGCCCGGTCGGCGCCGTGCTGGCCTGGCGGTTTGACGCGCAAGGGGTGGCCTTGCGGTTCGAATCGGTTCGCGAATTGGTTCGGCCGTTTCCCGCGCCGCCGACAAACCCCCCCAGCAGTCTGTCTCTCTCGCACGTCCACCGGGGCGGGACTCGAACCCCGTGGCCCCTTCGCTGTCAGAACAGGCGCGCTAACCACCCTATCAGCTACACTGTAGAAAGTCGATAGTGGGATGGTACTCACGATCTGCAGGGCCTTGTCCTTCTCGTCGAGCTTGGCGGAGACCAGCGTGAGCTGCTCCTGGGTCTGGTCCAGGTCGTTCTCAATGGCCTGGATCTTCTTCTGGAGAGAGCGGGCCTCCTCCTCAGCCTGTGGACGCAAACATGATTCAGAATCCGCATTTTGCTTTTTGCTACGCCAACAACAACAACAACAACATTTGCAACGAAATGAAATAATGTAAAGTAACGGCGCACTGTAAAATTTTAAAGTTGCTTTACCCAAGGGTGGCTACACTATGTCATGTCACACCCTGCGTTCAAATCCCCACTGAGGGGTTGCTCTGTCAGCCGTTCGCGAAATACGTGTCATTTTAGGGGTGCGAATGGAGGGGGTGGTTCTGGACCCCAGTCTCCAGGACGCCCGGGGAAACCTCGTGCAAGACGCGCTTCCCCCAGGACTCCCTCTAAGACTCCCTCCAGGATGACTCCCTCCAGGACTAGCGCCAGAGGACTTCCCCACGGATGACTCGCTCTAGGACTCCGTCCAGGATGACTATCCCTCCAGGCTGACTCCCTCCAGAACTCTTTCCAGGACTCCCTACAGGATGACCCCTCCAGAACTCTTTCCAGGACTCCCTACAGGATGACTCCCTCCAGGACTACATCCAGGATGACTCCCTCCCAGGACTACATCCAGGATGACTCCCTCCAGGACTCCATCCAGGATGATTCCCTCCAGGACTCCATCCAGGATTACTCCTTCCAGGACTTCCTCCAGGACCTCACCTTCTCGGCGCGGACGTTGGCGTCGCGGGCCTGCTGCTCGCACACCAAGGAGCGGTCCATGGCGTTGTCCTTCTCCAGCTTCATCGCTTGCATCTTCTTCTTGATCGCGTCCATGGTGACTGTGTTGTGGGGGGACTAGCACGGGGGAGGAAATACTGCAACAGAAACAGAGACGGCGTCCATTAGCACTCGGGCGGAAAAGAATGGCCGAAATTACGTTGGCATTGTGCGACGACCGCGAAACGGCCTTCTCTGTCTCTCTCGCACCAACAACACACGCGTACACATCGACAGCCAGGCACACAGGCTCTCTCTCTCTCTCTCTCTCTCTCTCTCTCTCTCTCTCTCTCTCTCTCTCTCTCTCACACACACACACACACACACACACACGGCGGCACAGCGATGCCCCAAAATGGCTGGGAAAGGGCGGCGGCCGTGGCGTAAAGGCGTCCGAGGGCGACGCGGTGCAGTGCGGTGCCACCTGGCCCAGTCCGCCGGCCCGGCCCCGCCCCTGGCTGCGCCTTGCCGCGCGTTGCCTCAGCGCGTCGTGCCGCTGCGGTCGCCTGCTGTTGGCCTGGGTCAGGGCCTTGGTCAGGGCGAGACCCCCTCCCCCTTCAAACGACTAAAAGGACCGTCGCTTACGCCCGAAAGCGCCGTGGGGCCGTCAAGCCACCGAGGTGAGGTGTGGCACGGCCCGGCCCGGCCCGGTTCGAGAGCACCAGAAGAGTCGTCGCTCTGTCTCTGTCGCACGCATGGGGCTCTCCGTAAGGGTGCGAGAGAGACAGAGCGACAAACCGCCGAATCCTGGTGGACCACCACGTCGTACCGGCGCCCCAAGTTCGGGGGACTTTAGTTTCAGGGCGTTTTGGGGTCACCGAGATGGCCCGCCGGGGAGGTCCCTGCTCCGGGCCCTGGTGGTCCTTGGCGTGTCCTCCAGTCCCCCGGTGACTGATAGAGGAGGAGCCCCGGCCCGTTAGACGTACGGCGACGCTGCACCGGGACACGGACACGGAGCACACCGCCGCATCACCCGGGCAACGGCCCAGGGAGGCTGGAGGGACCCCCACGGGGAAAAGGGGGGGGGGGGCGGAGATTACTCATTCCTCACGGAAGCCGTTCCGAGCTGATGGACCTCTCCACTCATGCAGCAGACTGATTCCGAGAGTCGTTTTCGTCGCCCTGTCTCTCTCGCACCTGTACGGAACGCCCCATGAGTGCGAGAGAGACAGAGCGACGACCTCTCGGAATCGCGGCGGACTGCAGCAGCGAGTGTCTGATTAGTGTTTCGCGACGGGAGAGGCGGGGCGGCGGCGCGGAACCCTCGGGAAGGCAACATGAACAGCCGGGCAAAAAAACGGAAAACGGATTTTCTCATCGGTTAGCGTCGGCGAGAAAAAAGAAACGAGAAACTATTTATCTAATCGTCTTTGTCGAGATGGTTCCGTTTTCTCCCCGCGGAGAGCAGCAGCGAGATGGGGGACAGATGACGCCGATGACGCCTCGTCGCCCCATGCTGCACGAGGCTCCACGAGGTCGTCGTGAGAAAGACAGAGACGCACGGAGGGCGTGGGTGGCGGTGGCCGAGCTGAGGGCTTTCTCCGACTGCAACCGGCATGACTCCCGACCCCACAGGCCCGCCCCTGCAGCGCGAGCAGGCTCATTCCGGTAAGTGCTTTGATCGCTCTGTCTTTCTCGCACTCGAGGGTCATCATCCCGTGAGAGTGAGAGAGAGTGAGAGAGACTGAGAGAGACAGAGCGACGATACGGCACTGTGCGGGATCGAGATGCTGGGCTGCTGGGTCCAGCGGAGCAGTCAAGGGATTCTGTCACTCCGATCTCGAGCGCCGTTGTTGTTGAATGATTTCAGTTTCATTTTCCTGTCTTCTCCCATCCTGTTTGTGTAACGAACGCCGACACGACACCCCCGGACCAGAAACCTGGAATCCGCTGGAATCCTTCCAATCCATCCAGACAGCACAGCACCTGAGTCACACAACCCGGCGTCCCTGTCGCAAGTTTCTCTATTTGATGGACCTACGTTTTCCCGAATGACTTGCCTTGCCTGTACAGTAAATGCATTTTAACAATTTTCCACGTACCGGTAATCTCACACAATTTTGTGCACGTGAAGTTTTCAGTCAGTTTTGTGTGCTAAAATATGCAAAGGTATGCACGCATCCCCGCTCAGCCGGTCTCTTTCCCTTGAGTAACGTTACGAGTGGCGATCGTGACACACACGTCACGTGACCACTGCGATGGCCGGTTCTCCAGGCCCGCCTATCCCCGCCTGCAGCAGCGGAGAGAAATGCACGCCGCTCGCCGGAAGCAGACTGCATGCAAATCCGACGCCCTGCCCCGCCCTGCCCCGCCCCGCCCCGCCCCGCCCCGCCCCGCCCCGGACCTATGTCAAGGCCGAGTCGCCGGGACGTCCTCCAGACGGGCAGACAGACAGACGGACGGCAGCCGTGCCCGAGTACACGCAGGCGACGCCACCCCGCGGCATGATTCCGAACAGTGCTTTCGTCGCTCTGTCTCTCTCGCACTCACGGCGGCCCCCGAAGGGGTGCGAGAGAGACAGTCGCGAAACGCCGCGTGTGGAATCAGACTGCTGCCTGGCGGTGCCGCTACTTGGGGGAAGGGGGAGGCGGTGGGGGCAGCGGAGTGTTTGACCGAATATGGCTGCGGATCTGACCGCCACCGCGCGGACCGCACGGCCTCGCGCGTTACGTCGCGGGGGGGGGGGGAGGGGGGGGGGGGTTGCCACCGATGACTCAAGACGTCAACGAGGAGACCTGCACGGACGCGACGTGCGCGCGGCAGACTGATTCCGAGAGTCGTTCTCGTCGCTCTGTCTCTCTCGCACCTGCACGGCACGCCCCACGAGTGCGAGAGAGACAGAGCGACTCTCGGAATGAGTCTGCAGCGCGGCGGGTCGTTTAGGAAGGCCGGCGCGGATTAGCGAGGGTCGCCGGGTGTCGATTTGCTCGTTGTCCGTACAGGGAAGTCCCGGCCCGTCTCGACCAGCTGGCGGACGGGGCCGTGGACCGAACCAGCGCACCGTAAAATAGCGTCGCCGACATGACCTGACTCGCAACCGCGAACCTACTGTACAGTGGCTTCGCCAAAGGCTACGCCCCGCGAAAATTTGGCACACATTTCGCCCTTGCCTTACCCCTTTCGGTTTCGACGCTCGCTTCCCACTTCGCGACGCTTCGCCACCCGAAACGAAGTTTGACGTCGCTGGCTTGCGCCACCCGCCGTCGCCCCCCGCGCCAAAAGCCTAAGGGCTGCTCTGGTTTGGCCGTCCAGCGCACAGTGGGCCAGAAGACTGGTGGAGGCGTCCAAAATTCTGGACGCGTTTTGAGCTCCAGAGTCGCTGAATGCGACTCGAACCGAACGCGTGACCCCACCAATGGATTGCTCTTCGAATGAGGAATCTATTGGTGGGGTCACACGTTCGGTTCGAGTCCCATTTAGCGACTCTGGAGCTCAAAACGCGTCTGGAGTTTCGGCCGCCTCCACGGGTCTTCTGGCCCACTGTGCAGCGCGTGCTGCGGCGCCGCGCCATGCATGCCTCCGTGCCCTCGCCGCCTCCAAGTAAGGCTGGAGTACGGCCGGCCGGCGCCGCGGCGGCATGCTCACTTCCGCGCCACTGCCCTTCCCGACTCGTCCCGACTTCCCCGGCAACGCCGGCAACCCGAGCGCTCGCGAATAATCACCGGAATAATGTCACCAACTTAATGCAGTGTGGTGGACGCCATTGCAGGGATTACCATGATTACACGCCGATGGGTGGAGCGACACGTGGTCGACAACACGTCGCACGAAAAGCAAGAACTGACGTTGGAAGGACACTTTCTGAAGGGAAGCGCACTGCAAAAACGGCTTTTGAACCTTGAGCGAACACGTGGCCTCTGCACAGCGGGCCAGAAGGCCGGTGGAGGCGGCCAAAGCACTGGACGCGTTTCGAGCTACAGCGTCGCTGAATGCGACTCGAACCGAACGTGTGACCCCACCAATAGATTCCTCATTCGAAGAGCAATCCATTGGTGGGGTCACACGTTCAGTTCTAGTCCCATTGAGCGACTCTGGAGCTCAAAACGCGTCTAGAATTTTGGCCGCCTCCGCCGGCCTTCTGGCCCGCTGTGCTCTGGAAGGGGGAGTGTCTGGACCGGCCCGCCGAGTGGGGGTTGGTGGTGCTGTGGGAACGAGACCAGCTAGAGGCCTGGAGCAGCCTGGAGCAGCCTGGAGCCTAGAGGACGCCCGGAGGCGACCGGCCGGCGACCGGCGTCCGCGCACTGCAGCGCCACAGCTGTGGTGCTGGCGCCGCGGCGCGTCGCGGCCGCCACCTGTCGGCAGTGTTTCATCGCTCTGTCTCTCTCGCGGCCCTGCGGCCCTGTACTGCGGGACGCCCCACGAGTGCGAGAGAGACAGACCGCTGTTCGGAATCGGTGCGCCGCGACGGCGCGGCACGTACGCCCCTGATGACAAGCGGCCGGCCGCCCTGCAGCCTCTGTCTCTCTCGCACTCGCGGGGCGGCCCGTGGGGGTGCGAGAGAGACAGAGCGACGAAAGCATCTGTTCGGATTCCGCCCGCTGCCCAGCCCCACCGCGTTGCATCGCCGGTCGCAGTCAAGAACGGGAATTACGAAATAGTTGTCGAAGTGCGCGGTGGCGAGCTTGCCTCCAGAACTGCCTCCAGAACTGCCTGCAGCGCTTCCAGCACTGCGGCCGGACAACGCGGCGTTGCCGACGAGCGTCCGAGGGGTCCGCGGAGCCGCGCAGCGGCGGCGGCGACCAAGTAGTTTAGAACGCAAAAATGACGACCAAATCGCAAAGTCGAAGAATGCCACTCGGATTCCCCTCAGTCAGCAAGCTATTGTTAAGTTTAGTGGTTGCGCTGCTCTCGCAGCCACAACAACCGCAGCATGAAAGCAAACTTTGTTTTCGCAGCAGCCGGTAACGACAGTGACGTCATATGTCAGAAACGCCCCCCACCCCCTCGCCTGCAGGACGTTCAGACACGCACCCACTCGCCGTCTCCCTCTCTCTCTCTCTCTCTCTCTCTCTCTCTCTCTCTTTCTCACTCACTCACACATGCAGAAAAAACAGAGCCCCTTCCCCGCGGCCCCTGGGCCCCCTGCTATTTTTATCCCGCTCCCCTAACGTGGCGAAGGGAAGCCCACAGGGCGGCGTCTTGCGAGCGGCAGCCCAGCCCAGGCCAGCCCAGCCCAGGCCGGCCACTGCCAGCCCGACGTCCCGACGCAGAACGGATTCATTTTTAGAGAGTCGGAGGCCTCTAACGCGCGCTCATTGTTTAAGAGCGTCTGAGCTTGGCCCCACAATCGGGGTTCAGGTGACACAGTCCCGAAGACAGGGCCCGCGAAGCGTCAAAATACTTTCAAACAGGACTTCCCCTTTTCTTGAACTATTTTCCCGAAAAATTGGCAGCACTCGAGGGTTCTAGAAAGAAGCGTTTAAGTACCCTCTTCTTGCTCGCAGAAACAAAGAGAGAGAGAGTCTGAACTGAAACTATTTTTATCTTTGACATTCCGCGGTCCCGGCGCGGCCACCCCTTTGAGACAGGATGCCGCTCCGTTGCTAACTTACAGTCCATCATTAACCTCACTCACACTCACTCACTCAACGCACACGCACACAACCGCACCAGCTGTCAAAGTGCACACTGTTCAATCCAAAGGCAACAGGGTCGTATCCGAGGGCTTGTCGCGTGTGCACCGCTGACACCAGGGCTGACACCGGAGCTGACACGGGAGCTGACACCGGAGCTGACACCGAGGCTGACACCCGGTGCTGACACCGCGGCAGACGCGACGTCAGGCCTTGCTGACAAGCCGGCCTGGCCCTCCAGCGGTCTTCCAGGGGCGCTGGCGGCCGGGACAGCGAGGTCACTGTCGTCTCCTCTTGCAAAAACTGACACTCCTCGGCGTCCTCGGCGTCGTCGCCGTCCTGGCGGCACTGCACTGTCGGGGCACTCGCCAGCACCGCTGGCACTCACTAGGCACTTTGCACTCACTGGACGCACTTCCTGGAGGCGCTGGAGAACGCGGCGGGGCTGCCCCGCGGTCGGGCGAGGCGGGGAAACGCACAACACGCAACGCGCAACGCACAGCGCACAGCGTACTTACCAGAGAACCGTGGGGTTCCTTGAGATGTTCGGATCTGGCGCCAGACACCGGTCGCGCTCTTCGCTGCTCGCTGCGCTAGTCTCGCTCGGGGCCCGCCAACCTCGGGTAGCTCGTCGCGCCGCCTCGGCCCGCGCTCGGCGTGTCTTCGGCCCGGCGGGGGGTGGGGTGGGGGGCGGGGCGAGGGGCGGCAGCCCGCGGGGGGGCTCCGGCCCCCGGGTGGGGGGTAGGATCACCTTACGCCGCGCCATAGCGGGCCAATCCAAGCCAGGGCGGGGGAGGCTGTCACGGGGCGGCTTCCCTCGGCCGCCCCGGGACGCAGCACCTCGCAGCACCGCGCCGACGAACCCCCCACCACGGGGGGCGGCATCCCCTCCACGGGGTGCGGCGCCGACGGCGGAGCGGGCGCCACCCCCACCAGGGCGGGTTGCATCCCCTCCACCGCGGCCAACCCTCCCCCTCCACCACTGTGCGCCGCAACGGCCGCAGCGGCCGCAACCACCACGGTCAGGGTGGCGTCGGCTCGGTCCAAGGCGTCTCCTTACAACCCTCGTCCAAGGTGGCCTGCCTGGCCCAGCGGGTGGAGAGAGGGGGGAGGGGGGGGGAGCGTGATTCAGACATCGGCACCGCCTCGCGCCGCCACGCCGCCAAACACGCTGCGGAGGGAGTCTATGGCAAAGGAATGCAGGGCCAATGCACCATCAAATTGCTGCCCAACCCCAACCCTGAGCCGTCGAGAAAAAGCATCAAAGAAGCGCCAAGATCACTGGTAAAACTGAGCGCAGCATTGCCCTCTGATTTCAAGCGAAGTCAGTGTCTCGCTTGAAATCAAGCCTCTGAGGCTCATTCGCGTGGTTTCACCCCACATGGGAAATTCCATGTCTATGCTTCGTTTCAATCATAACGTAGTGACAATATTCCGACGTAACTTTACACTTGACTCCAGTTTACGACACTTGCAGTCCGACTGATTCCACTTTGACAGTGACTGGACCGCGAAAGAAGCGGATCGGGGGGAGCGGGTTGGAGCGCCTGTGGGGTGGGCCGTCCCGTCAGACAGCGGTGCACCAGGGCAGCCTACCTCCCGTTACCATTACCATTAAGGGCTAGACCACACATGATCGTAGGCGGCTGTCCAACATGTCAATCAAGTGTCACGTGGATTCTGGGCGCGACAGCCGTCCCGCCAGCGAATCCCCCCCACCCCTTCCCTCACCTCGAAAGTCGGTGGAGAAGAAATGCATCGCGAAAAGGAAACGGATCGGGCGGAGCGCCTAGGCCGTCCCGTCAGACTTCGGAGTGCTGCAGCGGAGCGGCGGCCTACCTCGGAGGCGGCGTCCATCTTCCCCTGAGGACCTCCTGGTACGTACGTGCGTGCGTGTGTGTGTGTGTGTGCATGCATGTGCGCGTGTGCGCGCGCGCGCGCGCGCGCGTGTGTGTGTGTTTGTGTGTGTGTTTGTGTGTGTGTTCGGCACGGCCCCAATGACATGGCATGCATCTGCTGCCCTCACCAATTGGGCCGCTGGACGCGTTTGGCGCCACACTGTTCGACTGTCTGCCACGTCCCCTCCCAGTGACCCAGTAGACTGATTCCGAGAGTCGCTTTCGTCGCTCTTTCTCTCTCGCACTCATGGGGCGTCCCGCATAGGTGCGAGAGAGGCAGAGCGACGAAAGCGACTCTCGGAATCAGTCTGCAGAGCGTGGCTCTGCCCTAACGCCGTATATGACCGCTGTGGTCGCCTCGGCCGGTGAGTGACTGTACGACTGTACGACGCAACGCGACGCTCCTTGGGCGTGTTCCAGAGTCACGTCCGTGCGCCTGGCGGCCTAGGAGGTCGCCCAGTGACGCGGCGACGCGGTGACGCCGTGCCCTGCGGACCGATTCCGAGAGCCGCTTTCGTCGCTCTGTCTCCGTCGCACTCACGTCGCGTCCCGCTTAGGGTAGCTTAGGGGCGAGGGAGACGGAGCGACGAAAACGACTCTCGGAATCGGTCTGCCGCGGCGCGGCGCGCGTTTCGGAAGCGGTCACGCCTCGCGCTCCCTCGCACTCGTGCCGTCCAGGGCGGCGTTTCCGAACGCGCCCCGGGAAAGGACGACGCACAGTGGGCCAGAAGACCGGTGGAGGCGGACAAAACTCTAGACGCGTTTTGTGCTCCAGAGTCACTGAGCTGGACTCGAACCGAGCGTGTGACCCCACACCAATGGGTTCCTCGTTCGGAGAGCAATCAATTGGTGGGGTCACACGTTCGGTTCGAGTCCCATTGAGCGACTCTGGAGCTCACAACGCGTCCAGAGTTTTGGCCGCCTCCACCGGACTTCTGGCCCACTGCGCGACGGTGCCGGCGGTCGCTGCCGGTCGCTAACAAGCTCATTGGCAGGTGCCATAATGACGACCCATACATCGCGCGGAGTGGGACGCAGTGGCCCGGAGTGGAACGTGCCCGGCCGCCTCTACAAGGACCCAACTGCCAACTGGTCCGGGACCGCACCATCGCACCTTGGCCAGGGCGCCGCGCCCTCTGCGCGCACTCGTTCCGAAAGTCGTTGTTGTCGCTCTGTTTCTCTAGGCGTGAGAGAGACAGAGCGACTCTCGGAATCAGCCTGCTGTGGAGGTTTGGCTTTCCTCCTGGAAGGCTTGCGAGATAGGCAAACCCGCATACCCAGGCGCGACGTCGTGACTTTTTGTCTGTGCGTGCTTTACCCAGCAGGCTGAGAGTCGTTTTCGTCGCTCTGTCTCACTCGCACGTAGGGCAGACGCCCCGTGAGTGCGAGAGAGACAGAGCGACGAAAACGACTCTCGCGGAATCAGGCTGCTGCGGCCAGAGGTCTGCAATGGACAGTCCACCCAGTTCCAGCGCTCCCTATGGTGCGAGAGAGATGGCATGACTCGGTTCCGTCGCTGAGCTTCACGAGTCGACTTGGCAAGGCGGCTTAGAATCCCAGCAGAGGCAATCATTTTTTTCGGTGTAAATGACTGTTTGTAACCGCGCAAAAGCAAGCGCTTGTTCCATACAGACGGCCGAACATCTAGCGGCTGCCACAGCAAAAAAAAAATTCCCTCAAAAATATGATGGCGGTGCCGGGACTCGAAAGTGGTCAACAGTTCTTGTAGATCCAATGGCTATGAAGCCAACGGTTCGGATCGGTTCCAAGTGGCTTTGGTCGCGGCAGCTATCGGTTCGAGCCAGAACTGTCCATTGCAGACCTCTGGCTGCGGCCATTGACAACCGCGCCACCGGCGGGCTGCTACCGCTGCTGCCTCGCATACCAGCGGTCGCGGTGTTTTCTCACCTGGCCGGGCGGAGCGGACAGAGTCTAAAAGTCGCAAGACCAGTCATTGACACTATTCGGGGCTGCCCGCGCCCGCCGCCCGCCCAGAACGTCATTCGCACCGCACTGGCCAAGCTGCAGCGGCCGAGTTGTGAAAAATAAACGGACAGAGAAGGAGAGAGTGACACAGAGCGACGGACAGAGACAGTGGTCTTCGAGGAGGCGAACGGCCGCTACGCCTCTGGCTGCAGACTGATCCCGAGAGTCGTTTTCGTCGCTCTGTCTCTCTCGCACCTATCGAGGACGATCATGAGTGCGAGAGAGACAGAGCGACGAAAACGACTCTCGGAATGAGGCTGCTGCCTCGCACCGCACCGTGATTCGTTTGAAACAGTTTCGGGGTTGACCGCCGCGCCGCCGCGCCGCCAGATGGCAGCACCCGACGGTCCGCCGCCCCCGGCATGCCTGGGCACGCCGCCCCCGCACGGGCCGCGGCACCTCGGCGCCCCGGGGGCGTACGGACACCTCCCCCCGCCCCGCCCCCGCCCCCGGTCACGGTGGCTACCAGTTGTCACCAAACCAAACGACAGCTCAGCTTAGCACAGATATGTGGTGCCATTCTGGGTCCCACACCCCCACCCCGAGCCGCCGAGCCGCCGAGCCGCCGGCCGCCGTGGTGACCTATATCGAGTGGCTGGGAAAGAAAAAGAAAAACCCGCGGTGCGACCAGCAATGCATCGCCCGTTACTCTTTTAAAAGAAACAATAAGAGTGGAAATGAAAGCGGGGCGGTGCGAATCGGCTCGAGGGTGGATCGGAAAGAGATGGCAATCGGTGGTGGACGGTGGGTGCTGGGGCAGCAGACTGATTCCGAGAGTCGTTTTCGTCGCTCTGTCTCTCTCGCACTCGTGGGGCGTCCCGTGCAGGTGCGAGAGAGACGGAGCGACGAAAACGACCCTCGGCATCAGTGTGCTGGGCGGCTGCGCCGGGCTGCGCCCTCCCGGTTTATATTGGCAGGGGGCAGAAGGGCCGGCAGGGGGAGCGCGACGAGGAATGTTTGCTGTCTTGTTGTGCTTCCCGGACAGTCGGCAGCAGACTCGTCCCGAGAGCCGTCTTCGTCGCTCTGTCTCACTCGCATCCCTCGGGCGTCACGCATCGGTGCGAGAGAGACAGGCGAGCCTCGGAATCAGCGTGCTGCAGGACGGTCGCCCGGCGTGAAACGCTCGAATAACAAACGGGAGCATGGACACCCCCTCCTCCCTTCGCCCTGCAGTGGGACACCGGGACCTAAACATAGCGTGCCCGGGCCCGGGGCCACTCTACACCGTGGAGCCGCGGACGCGGACGCGGCAAGGCACAGCCTGGCAAAGCGCGGCCCGAAGTATGATACCCCGTCGCCACCGGCACCGGCACGTTTCCCGAAAACCCCCGAAGCTCGGCGAAGCACGGCGATGCGCCCATCGGCACCGAAGTGACCAGACCAGCCCCCGCGGCCGCGGGCGGATCGGGTGCCGGGACCCGGGAGCGCCACTGCCTCCACCCACGCTCCCCCTCCCCCAAAGCGGCGTAGCTGCAATGCATTGCGCTGTCGCTCTGCTGGCTTTGCCCAGCAGACTCAATCGCAGAGAGCCGTTTTCTTCGTCGCTCTGTCTCTCTCGCACCCATGGGGCGTCCCGTGTAGGTGCGAGAGAGACAGAGCGGACGGTTGGGTGCAGTGGCGCTCAGCCAGCCGACGCCTTTCTTCCAGCGTTTGGCGGTCCCGCCTGTGGCAGCCAAGGTCAGGTGGCTCATCCCGACGTCAGTTGGTGCAATGCAAAAGCTGCAATGCCTTCCCATTCCCACGCATTAGCATAGGGCTTTTTGGGATGCATGGCACGTAAGGTGCAATATGGCTGTGGTGTTACATGTATGGTGCGATATCTCAGGTGCATTGCACCGTACGTGCTATACTCATAGCGTTTGGAATCTCAGAGCTGTGTGCATTTTAATTTTGCTGTCCATTGGACAATATGATAATGTAGTGAGGGTCACATTAAAACACACTATCAACAGTTCAACAATACACTTTATAATATTGATGCAAAACAAATTCAGGCAGACAGTGTCACTAAACAAGTGTAATGAAGACAGTACAACAATCTAAATCAACGACTATTGTCAAATAACAACTCAATAAACTTCTCTTCAGTTCAGTAACAAATTTCTAAAGAGAACATCCCTTAGGCAAAGTTTTGTGCAGTACATGTCATTGGGTCATTTCAGCATAGTATTGGCTCCCTCCAATTCTGACTGATGTATTAGTTCATTTGGTTGAATGAGGTATTAAGATAGGTTCATGCGATACATGACCAAGATAAACAATAGGGCATTAAGTAGATAGGCATTCGTGCTAACTGATGCAAAAACTAAGATGCCAAATTTTTAAAATCCATTAATTATCAAAGGAGTGTGTAGTTTAAAAGATACTGACAGTGGACTAGAGTAAGCAGGTTAGTCTTAATTTAACATAAGACTGATTGATTTGAGCAATGTCATAATTATGGTACTTTGAATGTAGCATTGTTCTTATCTTCTGATTGCAAGCACCTATAAGTAGAAAGGGCCCCATAAACAATTTCTAGGATTATACTGTAAAATTGTCAATAATTCAAGCCAGGTGACCCTTTGCAAAAATGATAATTAGAAACTTAATAGCCAATTATATATGCAAATTAGGAACATGGTAGCATTTTGTCCTAAGAATACTGAGAAACGATTGTTGTTTTCTAAACACCCAATTTTTTCAAATGAAAAAAAATAATAATTTGAGACCTTTTTTGCCTGATGCACGACTGATTCAATAATTCTACCCTTTACCACAAAGAGATTAAGTAGATTGATAATAGTACCGACTCATACTGGCCAAAAAAAGGGGGGCCGGGATGAAACAAACAAGCATAAATTCAGTACAGAGAATACGCTGCACTTCAAATAAGAGTCTACAGATGAAAATAAGGAAAAGCCATAAACTTCAATTGATTTTTCATTCTAATGCATTCTAAGAAACTTCTCATATCACAGATTGTGGAGCTCACTGATCGCAAGTACAGCATAATCATGCAATGTAAGACCCAATATTAAGTATCACCATTATCAGGATAATGACCCGTAAGTCATAACACATTTAAAGTAACAGCCAATGAAACATTCCACATACCTTAGGCAAAGGTCACTCGTTACTCATTACTCATTACCAAAGACTAGTTCATCTAGTCTCTGAACAGACTTTAACGGATTATATGCATAGTATGTAAAACACAAATCAACACAAAGTAACATATGAATTTACTTTAAGGACGGATATAGAAGAGACTCCATTTGTAAGCAGTGTAACCTCACAGCAAAAGCAGTCATTTGTGCTCTCTGGGTTACAAACTATAAGAGAAAAAAACCAACGTTTTCTCTTCAAAATTTACAATTTAGTAAAAATAATGCAGCCACCATTTTAATAAAATGGAAAAAATAAACATGATTGCATGTAATATGACAAATCTTATAATATTAACATAGCAGTTTTTACTGAAATTACCAGTATACTCATGGATTGACAGGTACAAGGTCATGTCACACATCTATGAAGCTGCACTGAGCTGCCAGAACACAAAAACAACAACTACAACAACAAGAAAACAAGTGGTTTTTCAAACAACACCCTTGTTTGCCATATGTTGTTCACTTCTAGGGGTACAACAGACAATAGAATGAGGAATGATATATGAAAACAATCTCATAGGAAAATAGAACTCTCACTAAAATAAGCTATGGTGACTTAACATATACAGTAAATGCAAGGTAAAGGTAACTGGGAAGCTAAATTCAAACAAGGTTTTGTACAGAATCCGTATTTAGTATTGTAAAGATTTTTAAAAAATCCTTCACAGAGTGCTAAAAATGTTGATTAATGACTCAAACTTTAAACCATCTATAAAATCATAAAAGGTAAAAGATCAAGCACTGACAACTCAGGACCTGAATGATTCAGAGGGTCAAAAAAATAAAACTGAGTTGTCACAGCTAGCTGCTTAAGCACTAATCAGTATGCAATTGCGTGGTTTTACACAGATACCACCACACATTGTACTATGTTCAGTCTGGCAATTAACACAAACCACACCATACACCAACATATGTTTTTCCAGGGTAAAAAGTCATTTTACCCAATTCTTAAAACATTTACTTCATACACTAGAGGTAAAAATTAATCTCTGGTATACCTTGAATCTGCACACAGAAAAGAAAGAGAAATGAGGAAGATATTTTCAGGAACAGGCAAGACTTTGATGCATTAGCAGCCACTGGCGGCAGGGCGGTCATGATTGCCCCCAATCAAAAGTTGGCTGCCGTGGAGAATAGACCTGTACAAACCATCAAACAGTTAGGTCACAAATCAGAAATAAGGAGTCACCACAGAATGTAGCGGCCAGACAGAAACTTACTTGGAAAGGGGCACTGATTCCCAAAACAGAAACAGGGCTATTCGTGACATAGACAACCTGGTATTTACCAGGCAGCCGAGCAGCAGTATCAGGGAAAGTCAATTTTAAGGTATTACGATTCTGGCTGGATTGATTTATACTTTGCTCAGCCCAAAATGGAGTAGTGCTTACATAGACATAGCAAAGATAGTCATCCAAACTTGAAAAGTCCTCCTAAATAAAATATTAAGAATATCATTAAGGCATAATCTAAACGTTATAACAAGCATCCCAAAGAAATCCTACAAAAGGCATTATTTCACTACCTTGTAGAGACCAACCCAGTCCCATGGGGAATGTTTCACATCATCTCCAATGTGACAAAATACACTGTTCATCTCATCCAAATACCAGTCTTCAACAGGCATGAATTCAACCAATCTATCATGATAGTCACTGAAAACCTAGAAAACAATATAACAATTAGAAAGCCTGATCAAATTGAAGTAACAGCAATTAGAATTGTGAAGTTGTTATGTTTTACCTTAATTGCAAACTCAGATATAACTGGTTTATGGTCACTTTGCTCATATTGAGGGACACTGGTGTATGACAGTTGTTCAGCATGCAAAGTAATGTTTTCATAGACGTTTTTATGCACAAAATGCAGTACCCTGTCTGTCCAAGATGGTCGACGTCTGAGAAATTTGAATAAAATAGATTAATTGATTTTGAATAAGGGCTAAAAATAGAGTTAATTCTTATATTTGGTACTTACTTCAAATCATAGGCAGAACTATGCAAGTGATGTTTGTAAGTAGGAGGGAAGCTTGGAAGCTGCTCTGTCATTTCACTGAAAGCTGAGCCAAGAGCCATAGCTTGTCGAAGTTGATCCCTGTCCAGCAGTGATTTCAACTCGCCACATTCAACCAGACGTTTTATTTCTGGACCAGTTAGAACATTTGGATCAGCCAAACGGAAATTCAAGTCTCCAATCCAAAATACATAGCTGTTTCATAAAATTTTAAAGTTAAACTACATTTTGAAAGGCAGGAACACTTGCATACCTGGCATTAATGCCATACATACTCATGAAGGAATATTCGAGACGTCTCTCCAACAGAGAATGATTGAGAGCCAACAATAGTGTTGTAATCAGCAACACGTTCTTTTAACAGATGGTCATGGGGCGTTAAGTGAGAATTCACAACACAAATTGAACATCCGTATAGATTAAAGCGAATAGTTACAGCTCCTTTATTTCCCTGAAAATGAAAAAAAGGAAGGCAGAGTGAGTCAAAGTAACAAATATAATGAGATTCTAAATCAGCGATGGATGAAAGAGAAAATCTGCAACTTACCCACATTCCTCCGAGGCCAGTTTTTGTAAACTGTGTCTGGATGTCTCTCAAGTGGGTTAGATGGTGGCTGAGACTGAAGACACTGAGAACTAAGCCCTGTAGTCGAATGGTCTTTATCTTGATATATTTATGTTTTGCCATAACAGTCCTAATACAAGTAATAACAAAATCAGTTACAAATACAGGCCTTATTATATTAAGTGAGGTACAAAATAAACCCAACCTGAAGGTGTTTGACCATGGATCATCAAACAGGGCATCCAGAAGCATGTTCTGAGGCTGAGATTTTACCTCTTGGAGGCTGTGAAAAATAAAAACAATAGTGTGCTGTAGACCGGGAGTAAGACACCAGCTTTATGCATATTTTAATGCCTGCTGAGGACATACCCGATAAAATACAAATCGGGGAGCTTGTCCTTAGGTGAGCGATTGCTCAAACCAAGAAGTGCAGTGACATCCTCCTCTGGTGCTTGGGTCGCTACATTCCAAGTGACCAAATACAGACTGAAACGGTGATCAGTAGGGATCAGACAAAAACACCTTCTCATTATACAGTTAAAACTTCATTGAATTGACTTGTAGCAAACCACTGTCATTGCTATTAAAAAAAGTCTAGGCATTCCAAACGTATTTCCGAAAACAGATGCCCCATGTGTACATGTAGGCATTCCGTGCAAAGAAAGAGTGATCAAACATTTTTGGAAACTTCGTTTCAACAGACCATTGAACAACAAGCGCTATGCAGAAGAAAAATACAATGGTTTCGATGTATGTACGAACCGTAAGCTATCCATATTGTTGCTGTCTTCTAAGCTGTTGCGAAATTCGAAGATTGAGTGTGCTAAGAAAGTAGTCTGGTATGTCTCCTTAGCAGTAGTTCTGGGTAAACATTAAAGCCGTTTGTAAGAAATTGACACCTCAAAATTAGATGGTTGTCAGTGATGATACAAAAATAAAATAGGTATAGAAAATCATTGAGGCACGGTACAGGTGTAAAAAAAACGCACTTGATTAGTTTCACTTAGTCATGATGCAGTTTTGTAGGTCCACTACGCACGCACACACAAACACAGCAGACTGGTTCGACTTTCTCTTGTTTTCGTTCTGCTAATGCTCTACTTTCATATTGGTATTGTCACCTATGTTATTGTATGACAAATTTCACTGCACGTTTACTGCGGCTGTCCGGCTGTCCGCAGAAGACACAAGCAAAACACATGAATAAGGGCGCAAAGATTTTTCATGAAAGAACTGGTCCGCCAATTTTCAGAAGTACCAATGCTAATGTTGTGAAGGTCTTATTAATTAGAAGCTAGAAGCCATCATAATGTCACGAGATGTCTAAGAAGTAAATCTTATTTATTACTTAATAAGATTGTCGTGTTTGATCGGAAAGGTTGTGATAAGTTCATCCCTGTGATCGGATGGATCGATGACTAAGGTTGGCTAAACAAATACGTACGTGAATATGGTTTCGGTTGTCGAGGATTGGTCTCCTAACCTCTCTTAATGCATGCTTCATCCGTCAGTCAGGCAGTGCTTTGCTCCAACACAAACACGTGAGAAAATACTCGCTTCTGAAAATGGGAGTGAAAGCAGCAAGGAAGCGTAAGCTGGCTGAGCAAGAAGAATCTTCAGACTCTGACGAATCGGTTGAATTACCTCCTCCCACTAGATCCTCTGACGACCCAATCCCAAGAAAGGTATTTACGTTATAAGACCGGGCCAAGCTGCTAGGTTATGTATCTAAAGGATTCGTTGTCAAATTTTCCTTCAAAATTTTGTAGATTTACGTTGCGCACCATTTCTTTTACAACATGCTGTCAGTTTGCCTTCTGCGCTGCATAATTTGTTCAGCTTTCCCTTTTCTGTTTACCGATTAGTATTGTTGTTTTCAGTCAAAATGGATCAACAAACAGAGAGTGCTCGTATTTGCTGCAAGAGGTATTTCATTCAGGGACCGACATCTCATGAAAGACCTGCGGAATTTCATGCCACATAGTCGAGATGAGAACAAGTTTGATAAGAAAGAAAAATTGTTTGCTGTGAATGAGGTAAAGGTCTATTCTGCGTCTTGTGAGATTCAAGCGTATATTGAAAGGTCTTGTTGCTTTGCTTCTTCTGAGGGTTCTTACTTTGTTTTTGTTTCTAGGTCTGTGAGATGAAAAATTGTAACAAAGCTGTTCTATTGGAGGGGAGACTTAAAAGAGACCTATACATGTGGTTGGCTAACGTTCCATCTGGTCCATCTGCTAAATTTTTGGTTGAAAACAGTATGTTGCCCAAACCATTCTTTCGCTGATTCAAGAAAGTAATTTTTAAACATATTTACATTCTTTATTTCTGTTTTCAGTTTACACAACGGCTGAAATGAAATTGACTGGTAACTGCCTCAGGCATAGTAGACCACTTTTGTCGTTTAACCCCACCTTTGACACAGAACCGCACTACAAAATACTGAAAGAAATTCTTATCCAGGTATGAAATTGTTTAGAAGTGTGAGATATTGTGGGCTGAATTTAAAAATAATGTCACTATGATATTCCTTATCTATTTTCAGATTTTTGGTGTACCAAATGGTCATCCCAAAAGCCAACCATTCATAGACCATGTGTTGACATTTTCCATATTTGACGATCGTATATGGTTCCGTAATTACCAAATTTTGTCAGAAGATGGTGCTTTGGCTGAAATTGGTATGTTGTTAAGTGTGCCTTTCATTGCCAAAATGGTTTGGTTTTGCAGAAGATTCAATTTGTTTGGTTTGTTTACAGGACCTAGATTTGTTCTCAATCCAATCAAAATATTTGCTGGGAGCTTTGGTGGTGCAACTTTGTGGGAAAACCCTAACTATGTATCTCCTGGCGCGGTAAGACCCTAACACTGCTGCTAACTGTCCTGATTCCCAACTTTTTGAGTGAATTTTTTCTAACTGTCCTTTGTACATTGTTGCAGCACCGAAAACTTCTAAACAGTGCTGCTGCGTCCAAGTATATGAGCCGGGTAACTCAGAAGACACACAATGAAGTTGACAGGCCTGAAAAAACATATGCCCTGAATGAACTAGATGATATATTTGCTGGTGACGCATTTGAGACAGCTCAGGAAATTGTTGAAAAACAGTCAAAGGAAGAGAATGAGGCGTTGGACAAAGAAAGTAGACAACCTCCAAAGAAAAAGGCAAAAAAAGTTAAGAAACCCAAGATAGACAAAGAAATATCAGTGTCTGCAGTATCTAATGGGAAGTCTCCTAATGGAAAATCCCCTAAAGGGAAATCCCCCAAGGTAACAGGTAAACAAGGAAAGAAAATAAAGAACCATAAAGTTGCAGCAATCAAACTGAAAAAGGCTAAGGCCAAGGCAAAGGCCGCTCAGGCTTAGAACCAGTGATGTTTTTATTTTTGTATTCTGTGATTGTTGAAACTTTGATAAAACTATGAGACCCTGCCTACTGTATCAGTTGGGTATTAAATGTATATCAGTCCTAAATATTGTATGTATTTTGTGTAAAGTTTCCTTTCCATTCTGAAATTAACTTGAAGAGAGTATTCAGTGGCCAAGTACATTTATTGGCATTTGTATTTACACACAATTTATTCAATCACAGCTCAAGCACTCAGAAGTTAAAAACATTCATTACAAACACCTGACTTTCATGGTTGCTGCTCCCAACAGGCCTAATAAATGTTCTGACTATACAATGTAATGAGTCATCATAGTTAACAATGCTATTCAGATTAGCTGATGTCTTTTGAACAAAAAACAATATTAACAACCTATAAGAAAAATTGATTTTTTAATAAAAATATAAGTTACAACAAAGCTTGTTGGGAGCTGGAGCATCCATCTTAAGTATACAAATAGATTCTTAAATTATGACACATGGCAAAGTCGACAGTAAATATCGATTACTTAAGAGTTCCCAATCCCTAAAAAATATTCTTTGTTTCAAGGGTGCATGTTTATTGAATATTTTAATGCCTATGATGATATTGTTACAAACAAATCAAAAGGGAAACCAACTAATTATCATGAATATATCACATTGAGATATGCAATCTTGGAACACAACAGTGGAAAGGACAGAATGCACAGTACCTTTGAGATTTCATTTTGTTTCATTGTGAGCTCAGCTTTTTCAACATAATAAACACTGAACATAAAAATATTTTTAGCATTGGAAACTTTTTTAAAAAATATATTAACATTTACACTATATTAATTATTAAACATCACTTTTTAGGCAGCACCCAATCATTTGAAATTTGATGCACTGCAGCTAGTAGCTGCAAAATTTACTTTATCGAGTCCTGCTCGTTTCTAAAAATATTGTTATTGACAATCAGTAAATAGAAGTTGATGCTCCTGGTAGAGATTCTACCGTTTGAGCATTCTTTATGAACTATATGTACATTGAACAGTGGTTTATTCAAGATCACATGGTGAAACAGAAAAAAATAAACAAAATAATATATTTTGTTGGATCCACTGGTCGGGGCCTAAGCGTACAAGGGTATAAACCATTTAACATTCATTTTTTTTAAAAAATTACATATTTTTGCTATGTGTGATGCCAGCAGAAATTTGGACTCATGACTTTGCAACCTGTTTCTCTTCATTTCTCTTCACTACAGCACCAGGAGGTGCAAAAAGGAAAAGATAATTTGGGAAAAAAAGATTTCCATATTTGATTTACAAACACAGTATTTATGTTTTGTTTCATTTTTTAAAACTGTGTTTTCTGGTAACTTGATTTTTCTCCAAACGAAGAGAATGCCACTCTCTGATCTCAGTTTGAGTTAATCTTTTGCGAAAATTACAGTGACCCTGAGAAATAAACAAACTCGTAAGTTTGGCTCGCCACAAACAGAACTAAAAAGGAGGTCACATATGGCAAAAGTCTGCGTTGCTCTCTCGCAAGCAGTGAATGCAAGCTCGAGAACTCCAACCGCTGACTGTGGCTAACACGCCGGTCCTCTTTTCGAGAGACCGATCGAACCGCTCAGGGAAGGCCCACGGACGGTGGCCAATTGGCCAGAAGGGCGCCGGACGGCCGCCGTTCAGACACAAACTACGTACACTGGAAACAAACATATATTCAGTCGAGTGGCTGCACCATGGCCGCGCTGTGCCGCCGCCGCGTTGAGCCTCTACATCTTGCCCGAGTAGTGGCTGCCGATGTGGCTGGGCGGCCCAGGGCTAGTACACTGCAGGCTCTACATCTTGCCCGAGTAGTGGCTGCCGATGTGGCTGGGCGGCCCCCGGTCCCGGTGGTCCCGGCCCTCCCGCTCGCGGTGGTTCTTGTGCGAATAGCGGCTGCCCGGCCGCGAGTGCACGATGGCGTAGTGGTCGCTGTTGGTGGACACGGAGCGCGTCGAGTTCATGGTGGAGCCGCCCGACGTGTAGCCCGGCTTGCCGTTCAGCGAGTACCTGAAACAGGAACGGGACAGGTCGGTTGGAGAACGCCCTTTTTTTTGTGGGAGCTGTGCGATCTGTACCGGAACACCACCAGGTCTCAGATACAATTTTAAAAACACAATTTCAACTTATTTTATTTTTAAATGGTTTTTTAAAAATTGTTTTAAAGTTTTAGCTGACCTGGAGCCGTACTGCGAGCCGTGCCACGAGCGGTAGGGGTCGTAGTCCTCGATGATGGAGGGCTCCTTCTCGATCACCTCCGTCCGCGCGCACGAGCAGGTCATGGCGGAGCACAGGAAGCAGTTGATGATGAGCATGATGAGGAACAGCACGGCCAGCGCGATGCACAGCCACAGCAGCCAGGGCGGGTGCACGCCGCCGTCGCACAGCTCAGCGACCTCTGTGAACGGACAGGGTACAGGGTTCAAATACCGGCTGTTACTCAACTTTTTTTTTTGTTTCCCCATCGGCCGGGAAATCTTTCCCAGCGATTCTCCACAGCAATTCGCTCTAGGCCTGCCGGCCTGGGACGGAGGCACCGACTGGCCGAGGGAAGAGGCAGACGCGTCGCGACATCTGCCTGTGCCCTTGCAGTGTAAGTGCCCCCTCCCCCCTCCCTTTTTTGCCAGTGCCAGTGCCGCGCACTGGCGGATTATATATTGCGGCGTTTTAGTCTTCGTCTGCGGAAAATCGGGCGTCACGACACTGCAAGCGCTGCAAGCCAACGCGGCCATCGCGGTGAGAAATAGTGTCCCAGCGGATCTAAAAGTGGAAAGGGAGGGGGGAATCCTTGCAGCAGGTGCGCATCTCGCGGGGCACATACTCCACCGAGGCGCTCGGGAATGGCCCGGGCAGCCGCTCCAGTTTTCTTTGCTGCTCTATGTCCGTCGCCCTCCAACCTGACGGCCCGCGTCATGAGTGCGAGCGAGACAGAGCGACGAGTGTGGGCCCGCAGCCTCCTCGAGCCCCACGCCGGGCGGCCCACAGTGGGCCAGAAGACCGGTGGAGGCGGACAAAACTCTAGACGCGTTTCGTGCTCCAGAGTCGCTAAACAGGCCTCGAACCGAACGTGTGACCCCACCAATGGATTCCTCGTTCGGAGAGCAATCCATTGGTGGGGTCACAAGTGCGGTTCAAGTCCCATTTAGTGACTCTGCAGCTCAAAACACGTCTCCGCCTCCACCGGTCTTCTGGCCCACTGTGCGGCCGGACTTATGGCTGGTCAAGGGCGCCGCCGCTGTTGCGTCGGGAGAAGCCTTATGGGCCTTATGGCACCGCGACCAGCCTGCCCTGCCCGCCCAGCCTCGTGGCTCGCGCCCGACCTTCTATCCCCCGCAGTGCAGTTCTATCCGCGTCTATCGAGAGCCGAGGCAGCCAAGGCCCGTCTATCCTCTCTCACGTGTGAGGCCGCCGCATGCAGGGCAATGCAGGGCCCCCACGCGTTGCCCGCGCCCCGCCCGCGAACGGATCGCGTTACACTAGAAAAAACATCGAAAACGAAACAACCGCGCGAATCGCCTTTCCACTTTTTGCCGCGTTCATACCAAATCTAGGCCAGTCGCTCTCGCTGCACGCCGTCGAGGCCGTCGAGGCCGCGGCCGCCCTCGCCGCGTGGAGCCTCTGAGGCAGACGTCGCCATCCCCGAGGAGTCCTCAGCGCCTGTGAGTGTGGAGACGGCGGCCTACCCTGCCCCTGCCGAGATCGAGAGAGAGAGAGAGAGAGAGAGAGAGAGAGAGAGAGAGAGAGAGAGAGAGAGAGAGAGAGACCTACCCTGCCCTCCCTGCCCCTGCCGTCTGCACGGGGCAAGGTAGGCCGCCGTCTCCACACCGAAAGTGTTGCGGGACGCGAAGGTGGCCTACCTCACAGGCGCTCAGACTGGGCGGCGGTTAGGCGGCGGTTTACTCACTCGCGTCAAAACCGGGCCTGCCTGCCTGCCTTCCATCTGTGCTTTGTAGCTGTCACTCCGCCATGACGGGACAGCCGGCTGAAGTGCGAGAGAGACGGAGCGACGAAAGCAGAGTTTGGACCAAGCTGGGCACCTCCGGGGCCGCGGCCGTGCGGGTCAGCCGTCTGACAGCGCAGGATAGCTTCGTCGCTCTGCCTCTCTTGCACTCACAGAACGCCGCAGAGCGCACCGTGAGTGCGAGAGAGACAGCCAGGCGGCTGGTCCCGCGAACACATTCCCGGCATAGCCGACCACAGCCAGGCCAGGCATTGCCGGTCCAATAATCTCTGCAGATCTCTTAATTACAGACTGGGTGACCCTCGACGCGCTCTCCGCGTGCCCCGAACGATGTCTCTCTCCCGCTCGCGGGTCGCGGCGTGGCCGCGTAGCCGTGCGAGAGAGGCAGCGCGACGACATGACCGCGCCGCGAGAGCGGAGAGCGTCTACACCGTTCTGGAAAGCACTTGTCAACTCCGGCGCGGAGGACGGAGAGCGCGAGGAGCTGGAAACAACGCGGCGACGCAGCGGCAGAGCGAGCGGCGAAGCGGCGCTGCCCGGCTTGAGTTACGCAATCGGGCGCGGCGTTCGTCTTCTAAGGGCTTACCCCCCCTCCCAACCGCACTGCGCGCCTGTGCACACTCGGCGCACACACCTGCGTGAATGCGAGAGTGTGAGTGCGTACCGCGTGTGACTCGATTGGCCTTATAGGCATTTTCCGGAAAAGCACGTCGTCGTCGTCGTCCCAACGAGCGACCTGCAACCTGCTACAGTGTGGTGGAGGCGCCATGCGGCAGAAAGGGGCCAAGGGGAGGGGTGGGGGAGGGGAGGGGGGAATCGACACCCGTAACCCGTCGATGTGCGTTTATGTAACGCGACGCCGGCCGGCTGAAGTAACGGCCCAATGGTGAGAGGGCCGCCACACAGTGGGCCAGAAGACCGGTGGAGGCAGCCAAAACTCTGGAAGCGTTTTGAGCTGCAGAGTGGCTAAGCAGCCAAAACTCTGGAAGCGTTTTGAGCTGCAGAGTGGCTAAAGAGGACTCGAACCGAACGTGTGACCCTACGAATGGATTCCTCGTTCGGAGAGCAATCAATTTGGTGGGGTCACACGTTCGGTTCGAGTCCCATTTAGAGACTCTGGAGCTCAAAACGCGTTCAGAGTTTTGGCCGCCTCCACCGGTCTTCTGGCCCACTGCGGGCCGCCATGCCCGACCATGCCGCCAAACGAGAGGCCGGTCACAACAGGCTGACAGTCCTTTGCGTCGCTCTGTCTCTCTCGCACCGACGCGGGACGCCCCGTGAGTGCGAGAGAGACAGAGCGACGAAGACGACTCTCGGAATCGGTCTGCTGCCGTAGGAGGCTGACGCCGTGCTCGGCCACCCCGACCCAGCAGGGCGCTAGAAACGGGCATTTTAGACCTGCGGCACGGCGCGGCACGGCGACGCAATGACAGAGAATTGATGGGGCCGGCCGGGCAGTCATGCATTGCCACGAGCACGTGCGCCTGGACTCTAGGCGCGGCCGGGGCAGCACGCTCGTCGCTCTGTCTCTCTCGCACTCACGGCGAGTCCCGTGCAGGTGCGAGAGAGACAGGGACTCTCGCGGAATCAGTCCGCGGGTCAAGCCGCCCCTCCTCCGGCCGGCCGGGCGTGGCGGCGCCCGTCACCGCCACAGGGCGCGACCGGCGCGGGGAAAAAAAGAAAGAAAAAGTATAAAGAGAGAATAGTCCGCGGGTAAGACGCTTCGCGTGCGGGGCGTGGCGGCGCTCGTGACCGCCAAGGGCGGCGGCTGCGGGAAAAAGACTGAGACTGCGGCGCAGGAGAAGGTGGAATATGCGTGCGGCGTGCGCGTTTTTAGACGCCGAAGCGTGTCGCTGCGAGACTGAGACTGCGGCGCGGTGCACTGCGTGGCACTGCGTGGCACTGCGTGGCACTGCGTGGCACTGCGTGGCGGCGCTAGCCTAGACCTACGGTGTGCCGCGCCGTGTCTCGCCGTGCGTGCGCACCCCTGCATTACGCGTGTCGCAACGACGGCGCCGTGCCGCCCCGCCCTGCCCCACCCAGCCGCACCCCGCCCCGCCCCCCCCGCCCGCCCCGCCCTGCCCCACCCCGCCGCACCCCGCCCCGCCCCGCCCCGGCCGTGAGACGGGCACGATGTTCATGACTGGGATGAGTACGCCAATGACACGCGCGGCCCCGTCGCACCGCGTCGCACCGAATCCAACGAGCGAGTCGCAGACTGCGTGCCCGCGGCACTGGAAAACAGAGGCAAAGTGCGACTTCTCCTCGAGTCTTTGTCTCTGTCCCACAGTGGGCCAGAAGCCGGTGGAGGCGGCCAAAACTCTAGACGCGTTTTGAGCTCCAGAGTCGCTAAATGGGACTCGAACCGAGCGTGTGACCCCACCAATGGATTGCTCTCCCGACGAGGAATCCATTGGTGGGGTCGCACGTTCGTTTCGAGGCCTGTTTAGCGACTCTAGAGCTCAAAACGCGTTTAGAGTTTTGGCCGCCTCCACTAGCTTCTGGCCCACTGTGTGTCCCCGTTGCAGTCGAAGGCTGCGCTCCCATGCCCGCCATGGGGCCATCAGGTCGTAGGGCGGATGGGGCATGGCGTGACGGTCGCATCGGGAACGTTGCGGTTCAGCCCCACCAATTCTTCCAGCTTCACTTTTTACCTTTAAAAACTGGAGAGAATGCGTTTGATGCATTACAAAAATAAAACGGAAAAAATCTTAGATGAGGATGCATCCGAATGCACTCGAGACTCCGGGGCTTTACGCATACTGCACTCGCAAGAGACGGAGTGAAAGGGTGCTCACTCAGGCTGTACTTATAGGCGCCGCACAGTGGGCCAGAGGGCCGGTGGAGGCGGTCAAAATCCTGGACGCGCTTTGAGCTCCAGCGTCGCTGAATGGGACTCGAACCGAACGTGGGACCGCACCAATGGATTGCTCTTTGAACGAGGAATCCATTGGTGGGGTCACACGTTCAGGTCGAGTCCGGTCGCAGCTAAAGTTTCGGACGCCGGACACGGACACCCCCACCGCACTGCGCGCGGTGCTGTGTCCCTTCCTTGTAGAGGTCGACGGGTCGTTTCTTTCGAGACTCCTCGCGTTCCAGTGCGCATGCTTCGAAAAAAAAGAACGCTTCCACAAAAAAACTGCTTTCCGACGAAAGTGGGCGCGGTATCCCGAGGCGAGGCGTATCCTCGCGCCCCGAAGTCGAAGCCGAAGCCGTTCCACTTGGCGAAGCCCTGTGGGCCTTCCCTTCGGCATCTCATATTCGTTCAAGCATCGCGTGAACTTTCCCCTTTCCCGAGTGGTCGCTGGTGCGTGGACCCCGCAGCCGCCTCAGTCCGAGGGATCGCTCCGTCGCTCTGTCTCTCTCGCTCCCCTACGGGGCGACCCATGAGTGTGAGAGAGACAGAGCCACGAAAAGATCCTCCAGAATCAGACTGCAGCCCTCCACTTACCCACAGACCAAAAAATCCAGACGCGTTTTGAGCTCCAGAGTCGCTAAACAGGACTCGAACCGAACGTGTCACCCCACCAATGGATTCCCCGTCCGGAGAGCAATCCATTGGTGGGGTCAGACGTTCGGTTCGAGACCCATTTAGCGACTCTGGAGCTCAAAACGCGTTCAGGATCCTGACCACCTCCACCTCTTTTGGCAAATCCACTGTGCTTCGCCCCCCTCCAAGGCCGCCTCTGGACCGCCCCTGCCCTATCTTCCAACTCACGTGGTCCTTCGCCGGGCTCCAGGACGAAGACGCTGGTGCTGGCCATGAGGGCGCCCTCGTCCGCCACCTGCAGCGAGTCCTGGTCAAGCGCGCGGGACTGCGCCGACACCAGCTGGTACTCGTCGTCCGAGCACGTGGGCTCGGGGCACGCTCCTGCAACACGCGTCATCAGTCATCATCAGTCGGCGTAACAGTGTGGTGGGGCTAACAGCTGTCCGATTCTGAAGGATCGTTTCATCGCTTCTGTCGCACTCGTGGAGCGTTCCTTAGGGGCTGCGAGAGAGACAGAGCGACGAAACGATCCTTCCGAATGAGGCGCGGCTTACGGAGAACCAGAAGATCGGTGAAGGCGGTCGAAATCTCGGACACGCTTTGAGCTCCAGAGTCACTAAATGGGACTCGAACCGAGCGCGTGACCCCACCAATGGATTGCTCTCCGGACGAGGAATCCATTGGTGGGGTCACACGCTCGGTTCGAGTCGAGTCCTGTTTAGCAACTCTGGAGCTCAAAACGCGTCTCGAGTTTTGGCCGCCTTCACCGGTCTTCTGGCCAGCGGCACCGGCCGGCCGGAGCGCCGTGCAGGGTAGGCAGTCCCGTTGCGCTCGCCAGCGCTCAGCGGCGACGTGGCTGCCTACCCGGCACGGCGCTCCGGCTGGGAAGGCTTGCTGCTACACTGTCAAAGGTTTCAATTTTCTGCCACCTTCGCCACGCAGTCGCAGGCAATAATCACTGACCTCTGCACAGGGCGATGTCGCACTGGAAGTGGAGCTGGCTCGAGTCCGGGAACCTGAACATGGACTTGAGCTCCGCCTCGGCCGAGCTGGTGACGGGGTCGTACTTGAAGGGCGATATGACGGACGACTTGACGGGGCACCTGCAGACAAGGACCACGGTCAGAACCAAGGGCAGGCCTGTGTCATCAAGTGAGCCACCCGCTGAACGTACACTGTACACTCTAAAAGTTGCATGGTGAAGGTTCTCTATATTATGGTGAAAATTGTCCATATGATGGTGGTGCAGCTGAATTTATCACATACCATGGAGAATTCACTGTAAGACATTTAGAGTGTACGCAACATGCATGACACTCCGCCTGAAGGTAGGCAAAAAGGTGAGTCATGTTCCCCTCCGAAAGACAACCCTGGCGCCGCCCCTGCAGACGACCGTTGCCATGACGACGGGCGCGTGCCGGCGGGCCGCGGCGGGCCGAGGTGTTGGCAGTGTGCGTGCGTGCGTGTTGTCTGCTCGGCCACCGGCGCGTGCGGCCGCGAGCCTTGCCGCGTGCGGCGTGCCGCGCTCTCACTTTTGTTTTCACACATGCGGGGGTCCTTCTGCTCTTCTGGTCGCGCCTGCGGGCCTGCGGCTTTGCTCGTTTCCCACGTAAGCCTCCGCTGCGGTAACGCCGTGCAGCATCCCCGCTGCACCGTCACCGCGTCAGCGCGCTGCACTTGCAGTGTGTCGTCGCACTCGTGCGGAGGGCCTCGCGAGAGCGAGAGAGACAGAGAAAGCCCTGCGGTCGGTGTGACGTGCGGGCGCCCCGCGGCCACAGCCTGCCTCGGGCTGCCTCCGGCGAGGCACGTGCGGGCTGCGGGTCAGGCAAGGGCGCCTGTCTGCCTGTCTGTCTGCCTGTCTTTCTGTCCGTTCGCCGCCTCGTCCTGCGCGACCCACTTCTCCTCCTCGCGGCGGCCCGACTGACATCATCCTCGAGCTTCATTTGTTGTCGCTGTTACACCGTAACGGGCTCCGTAATAGTGGAACGGATGAGACAATACTATTCTGCGGTCCCCGTCGCAGCAGGCCCAGCCCGACCAGAGCTCGGATGCGCTGTCCCTCTCGCGCCCTTACGGGCCGCCCTGTGAGTGCGAGAGAGACAGAACCATCGGGCTGAATCGGCCTGCCGGTCAACGCCCTGGACCTGAAGGGGTGTGTCCCGCAGAGCTATTAGTCGATCCGTCGCTCTGTCTCTGTCGCACTGGTGGGGCTCTTCGGCTCTCTTTAAGGGAGCGAGAGAGACCACTGGATTGGCACGGCAGGCCGCGAAAACCTTGGCGGCTCACAGCGGGCCAGAAGACCGGTGGAGGCGGACAAAACTCTTGATGCGTTTTGAGCTCCACAGTCGCTAGCCTAAATGGGACTCGAACCGAACTGTGACCCCACCAATGGGTTCATCGTTCGGAGAGCAATCCATTGGTGGGGTCACACGTTCGGTGCGAGTCCCTTTCAGCAACTCTGGAGCTCAAAACGCGTCTAGAGTTTTGTCCGCCGCCACCGGTCTTCTGGCCCACTGCGCGGCTGGCTGGCGGGGACCTCTGGTTTGGAGGAGCTTGTGGCATGACAAGGGCAGCTCTCAAATCATCTCTCCAGAGCAGCTCTCCAATCATTTCGAGACCAGCTCTCGAGATGACACCAGTAGCTCTCGGAGTGACCGCCGTGCAGGCCAGAAGGCCAGAAGGCCACGCCGCCAGGATCTCGAGATCAAGGCCGGAACGCGCGGTCGGCCGGCCGGTGTTTGAACCCGCGACCCTGTCTCTCACCGCGAGTGTGCTGCAGTGGCGGTGACGTGAAAAACATGAACGGGTTGCCCGCCGTGCGCCGCCGCGCCATTCTCCTCCCACGCGCGCAGCGCGCGGAGCACCTACACTGGAATCGATATGAAAATGGAATCGCTGGCGCCGCGTCGACCGGCCAGACTCCCGCGGACTGATTCCGAGAGTCGTGTTCGTGTCGCTCTGTCTCTCTCGCACCCACACGGGACGTCGCATGAGAGAGAGAGAGAGAGAGAGAGAGAGAGAGAGAGAGAGAGAGAGAGAGAGAGAGAGAGAGAGAGACGCGCCGCCATGCGTGGTCTGACGGTGCGGCGCGGTCCCGCCCGTCTTGACTCCGCGTCTTGCCCAATGATCGCATCGCAGAAGGTCACCCAGTTCTGCTGCGGCTTGACTCGGCTCGGCTCGCCCGGCCCGTAATCCCGCCGATACAATCCCTGCAGACCCATTCCGAGAGTTCGTTTTCGTCGCTCTGTCTCCGTCGCACTCACGGGGCGTTCCAATGGGTGCGAGGGAGACAGAGCGACCAGAGCGACTCTCGGAATTGGTCTGCAGCGTCGCGCCGCCCGAACGGACCCGACGCGAGAACGCGAGGTGAGCCGCGAGGTGAGGGGGCAGCCCCGAGATTACTTACAGAGCAACAACAACGAAAAAACAAAAAAAAATCAATAATTTTTCTATGAATTAAAGCAAGTTAGTACGCGACTTCTATAGGGCTTTCAAAGGATATGCGTTGTGTTTGATGGCTTTTCACCACGATAAGTACACTCTGAAAACCTTTTCAACTATTTTGGGCCTTACAAAATAAAAGTAGCTTGATATGGCAAAGTATTTTGAGCATGCACAAGCTCACAAAGAAAATACTTCGTAATTTTCGAACTATTTCTTCGTATAACCATACGTACCCCCTCTCATCGATGAGGATGACGCTGCTGTTGAGCTTGTTGAAGGCGAAGCAGTTTTTGACCCGGATGCCGTGGGTGCCTGCCAACAGAAAACAAGGACATTTCAGAGTGAGCAAGCCAGGAAACAAAGCGTCAAACCGAGTCAAACGAAACTCATACAATGTCATGAATGGGAGTGCACAAGCAGAGCGCTTTCGAACAGTGGTCTGGGCGCCCTCATGACGGGGCGACCCCCTGGGGGTGCGAGAGAGACAGAGCGACGCAGCAGTGTCTTTTCCTGGCAGTGCCCAGTGCACCTTCGGCTGGTCCGTCGTGGCCGCGGCGCCCTCCACTGGACTCCAGAGTAGTCCCGCCTCGGCTCCAGCTCCGCGGAACAACAACCACTACACTACAGGTGTTCCAGCGCCGCATGCATAAGGCCCGCAGCGGAGCCTGGAGTCGGGACCGGAGTCTGGAGTCCAGGACCGGCCGACCGCGAAGTTACAGTTGTTATCAGCGAGCGCAGCGCCACCGGCTAACGGGCGGGGCGGGGCGGGGCGTGGCGGGGCGTGGCACGCTCAGGTGGGAAAGGTGGGCGGACCGCGGTGGACCGCGGCGGGGCGGGGCGGGGGGCGGGGCGGGGCGGGGCGGCTCCGTGTGTCGCTGCTTTCTCCATGCAGCAGGAGGTGAACGCACTCCAGTGTCCAGTGCCTGGAACGTAACGCCACTGGAGTCGTCGGGCTGGTGGTGGTGGTGGTGGTGGTTGGGGAGGGGGGCAGCCTCCTCGCTGCATGGCTGCATCAACAAGACCGCGCCTTGACCTATGGCTTGTTCCACGCTATAAGGCCTGGCGGCTTGGCAAATAGGCGGGCCGAGTGGAGGGCCGACCTCATGCATGGCGGCTTGGCATGCCGAGGGGAAAAAGGGGGGGGGGCTCAGGCACCGCGGCAGGGCCGGCAGGGCTACTCCACAAAGTATGCGAGCCCTGTCCTTAGCGGGCCAGTGCGGCTGGCAGCGTTTTTAGAGTGTACGGCCCACAAATTACTGACAGTGACCCTCTCTACAAAATGGGCCCTGACTCGTTTTCACATTCGTTCTGCTGTTTCAAAAATGTCTAGGGACCTTTTTTTTCTTGTCACCAACTGGGAACAGTCTTAAGCAGTACCAAATCCAAGAGACAAATTTGTGACAAGCTGGTTTACTATTTCGTCACAACACGCTCAAAACCTTACGAAGTATTTTGAGCATACATAGTACAAACTAATTTACTTTGATATGAGAAGAAATGGCTCAAAAATGACGTAGTATTTTCTTTGTAAGCTTATGCATGCTCAAAATACTTTGCTATAACGAGCTGGTTTTCTTTGCAGTGCCTAAAATAGTTTGTAAGGTTTTCAGAGTGTGGTGCTAAACATTGTTTCCAGTTGGTCACAAGAATTGACCGCGTAGACATTCAGTGCGAACGTTGCTGTTTTTTCTGTCCCCGGTCGATAAATTTTGCGCGACTGTCCTCGTTCCTCGGTGCACCGAGGTGGGCGGCAAGGTGGAGGTGGGTGGCAGTGGCCGTGGCTGCGAAACGTTCCACGCCTTGGCACCGCCGTGCCGCCCAAGTGCACCTTCGCAGTGACGTCCCTGGGAACGCGGCGGCTGCGGCGGGCCCATTCCGAACAGGGCAGTGTTTACGTCGCTCCGTCTCTCTCGCACCCCTACGGGACGGCCGACGGGTGCGAGAGAGACGGAGCGACAGAGGACGCCGCCAAAGCCCTTTTCCCAGCGTCGTCGCCCTTCGCCGCCGTGCATTTCCGGCGCCTCCTTCTTGACATTAGGAGGACGCCCCGCCCCGCCCACTGTGAAAAGTCGCGACAGCGCGTACGCACGCCGCACAGTGGAGGCGGTCAAAATCCTGGACGCGTTTTGAGCTCCAGAGTCGCTAAATGGGACTCGGACTGAACGTGTGACCCCACCAATGGGTTGCTCTCCGAACGAGGAGTCCATCGGTGGGGTCACACGATCGGTTCCAGTCCTGCTTAGCGACTCTGGAGCTCAAAACGCGTCTGGAGTTTTGGCCGCCGGTGCCGGTCATCTGGCCCACTGTGCGGCCCGTTCCGTTTATTTTGTTTCTTTCGTTTGACTTTTGGAAAATTGCACGACGAGACCATAATCCTCCGACCAACACAATTTATTCGAAAACGTCATGATACAACAGCGTGGCTATTTCCGCAGCATGGCCTTGAGCGCGAACAGGGCCTTGACCACGAAGAACACCACCCGCCTGGCCTTGGCGGGGAAGCTGGCGGGCTCGGCGTCGTGGAAGCGGCGCTTGGCGACGGCGTCGTCCTGGTGCTCCGCGTCGCCGTCGGCGTCCTCGGCGTGCCGGCCGCGCCGTCGCCGCCGGCCGAACGGCCAGCCGGCCAGCTTGTCGTGCTCGGCGTCCTCGTCGGCGAGGTGCTCGTCCGGCTGCTCGGCGCGCTCGTCCAGCGCCACGGCGTAGTCCAGCTCGCGCAGCATGCGCTCCAGGTGCTCGACCTGGTTGTCCGGCGGCAGCGCGAGCGCCACGATGGTGGCGCCCTTGCCCAGGACGGGCGCCAGGTTGCGCAGCGCGCACCGCACCACGCGCGCCTCGCTCTGCCCAGAGCGGCGCCCAGCCTGGCCAGCCTCGCGAAGTACTCCCTGGCGGAGAGGCCCGCCGCGGCGCTGAAGCTGCCGCCGTAGAACTCGGTGCACAGCAGCTCCACCTGCTTGGACTCGTTCCAGAACTCGTCCAGGAACCTGGCTTTGAAGTCGTCCCAGGCGGCGCACCGGCGGCCGACGTGCTGCAGCCAGGGCCGCGCCGTGACGGCCAGCACGCGCTCGCACGCCGCCACCACGCGCCAGCACTCGTCCACGTGGAAGGCGTCCAGGTCCTCCTGCAGGCGGCGGACGAACTCGGGCGGCAGCAGGCCGTCGTCGTCGAAGCACGCCAGCACGCGCACCGGCACGGTGCTGGAGCCGCCGCGGCACGGCACGCTCAGCTCGGACGTCGCCGAGGCCACCACCGCCATCGCAGCGCCGCCGCTTCGGCCGTCGACGCGGACGCGGCCGGCCAGACTGCCGGCACACTGTACGTCACAGCGGCCTCGGACGCCGCCGCGGCATACGCCTCCAGGCGGCGCTAGGATCGCGCCGAACCCCAAACCGCCCGGGAAACTCAAACCAGGTCCACGAAACCCGCGGCGCGGTCCACGAACCGCCGAAGCCACCCCGTACGACTCGCAGTGTCACGTGGTGTTACAGCGCCACGCGGCCAGGCCACTGTGCACTGCACAGTCAACACGTCCTGCCTTATCAGTCGGGCCTATCGACCCGCGGTGCTGCCAACCTCGCCGCGAAAAATCAAGCCTGAAAACGATTCAAAAATCCCCGCTGCCGAAACTGGCGGTTGCCGCGTCCGCGTCGGCGGGCCGACCCGGCGTCGGCAGCCTGGGCGGCGTCGACGGCGTCGCCGGACCACACGGTCATCATCATGACGGTGTTCAGCGCCCCGCCGCGCGTCGCGAGCTCAAGGTCACTTCGGCCGCGCCTCGCCGCACCTCCACACGCTGGCGCTGGCACGTTGGCACTGCCGACGCCCGCCAAGCATCCTCGTTTCAAACGCCGCTCCGGCCGTCCTCACCGACACCGGCCTGTGTGGTTTTCCAATCACCGCCAACGGTTTCTGATCATTCCGCGCCGCGCTGCGTCGCTCTGTCTCTCTCGCACCCCTGCGGAACGCCCCACGAGTGCGAGAGAGACAGATGCTCGGCTGCAGATTGCGCGCCGCGGCCTCCGCCATTCACACTCTGCCGTTCGGAAGACGCAAAGCAGAGGCTCTTCCTCCTCCCTGATCGCTGCGCACAACGGTGGTCAAGGTCAGACAAAACAACTTTAATTTAAAATAAATATTTTTGCTATTTCTTTAAAGTTAAGCAATATGTTTTTTTCCTCTTGAGGGGTATTTGAACGCCGGTCTACGTACTCGAATTGCGACCCGTTTACGCCCTCGGCCACGAGGACCTATGGTGTGCTCGCGGGTCGGGGACCACGAGCGCCTACCGCCGCTCCCACGTCCCATAGCGCCCCTGAGTCTCCCTGAGCCAACGCTTGCATTCAAGTCTCCGGTGCGGCAGCACCGCGGGCAGCACGCACCATCGTCTCTCTCTCTCTCTCTCTCTCTCTCTCTCTCTCAAAAATGTAAACACTGCCGCATAACATTAAAAACTTCAAAACAAAAACACTGCATGCACAATTTTGTGACAAAATTTAACTCATGAGTTTTGGCCTTAATTGTTTATAAGACTCCCCCAATAAATCATTTTTAAAAACTGAAGTCTCTCTCTCTCATCTCGTACAATGAGTGCGACCGACACACGATGACGAAAACACGAAAACGACTCTTCGGCACGGAATAATGTGTCTGCTGCACTCTCTGCAGTCGGACAAGCAAAACTATTACGTGACACAATGTCCGGTGGCGTCTGCTAAGTCACGCGTGCGCGCACGCACGGCCGGGTCGCGTGACACTCGGCCACTCGGCCGGCCGGCTAATGGGTCGTGTGCCGATCGCACGCACGCACTCCAACACACACACACACACACACACACACACACAAACGCGCGCGCGGTGCCGACATCGAGAGTTAAACGGCGGCTCACTTCCTGCGCGAGTGCATGCCAAAATACGAGTGCGGATTGCGCGGGAAAGGACGCACTTTTGCCCCCTCCACACACACACACACACACACACTTGCAGTGTACTCACCGTCAGGCCTGGTGACGTCGGCCCTCAGCGTGTAGGGGTGGCTGTACACCACCTCCGTGACTCTCCGGCCCTTGTCGATCAACTTCAGCGACACGAGGGACGTCTCGTTCCTGGAAGCAAAACAAAAACAAAAACAATCACGTTTCGTTTTCGAGGGAAAAAAAAAACGGAAAACTGCTGTTACCCAAAAATTTATGTTTGGGTGGGCAAGAGGGGGCATAAAAGCAGTACAGTGCTTAAGCCTGCCGGAGCCTGCTTCTTTTTGGCTATAAAATGGAAGAAGCGCCGGGAAAAACGAGAGGTGTCCGCTGGGGCGGGGTCGCGGTGTACTTATGTGCCTCTTTACGGTGAACACGAGGCAGAAAACGAACCGAGCCCACCAGGGCGGGCTTTGCTTCTTTCGGCTTTTTTCGGGTGGGCAGGCCGATGCCGAAGACCCGTTTTCGTCGCTGTGTCTCACTCGCACCCATGCGGGATGCGCCCTGAGTGCGACAGAGACAGAGCGAAAGGAATCAGCCTCTGCAGGATGCAGGCGCCTCCCTGGTTGCGATCGACGCTCTTCGAGGCTGGCGGGCACCTTTACGACCAGGACCCGAAATCAGCCTGTTCCGATCACGCCGACATTGCGTAGCATCCCCCCCCTCTCTCTCTCTCTCTCTCTCTCTCTCTCTCTCTCTCTCTCTCTCTCTCTTGCACACGCACTTGCGTGACAGGGCGTACTGACACTCATTACCCCGAAGAAAGGAAGAGCTGTGCAAACAGCAGTGCGCAGGCTGCGCGGCACGCACCCGCAATTAGGCCGCCCATTTATTAGGCCAGTCAGCAGTCCATCAGAAGGGGTGGCAAACAGCACTGCGCGGTGCGCGGCAGCAAAAACACAAATTTAAACCGCCCATTTTAATTAGGCCAGGAGCCGGCCATAGTGGGTTGGATTTTAATGCACTGCCCTGGTACGTTGCGCATTCAAATCAACCATTCACATTAAAACGCTGGGCACCACAGTATTATTTATTTTTTCATCATTCCTTGATTCGTCCATTGGTTCGTTTGTTCTCATTCATTTAGTCAACCATTCAGTCATTCAGTCGTCCCTTTTCATCATTCATGCATCATTCATCATTCGTCATGATTCAGTCATTCATTTCATTGATTCATTAATTGTCCATGAATTCAGTTTAAAAAATTCGTTTTCCCTTCATTCATTAATTCGTCCATGAATTCAGTCATTCGTGCATTCATTCATTAATTCGTCCATGAATTTAGACATTTGTGCATTCATTCGTTTGGTCCATTCGTTCGTTCATTCATTCATTTGCCACGAACCGGACGCTGCCCGCTCGCCTCCTGACACCGCGCGCTTCGATACTCCCCGCTGTCACTTTCATTGAATAATGTCTGCTCATTAAAAACAAAAACAACGACAACAAAAACAAAAATCGGAGGTGTCCTTTAATTGAGTCGGAGCTCGGCGATAGTGAATCAGTGCTCCGTCGCTCTGGGCGTCGTCGCAACTAGGAGGCATAAATGGCTAACGAGACCTTATTTCGCCTTTTCTTTTCTTTATCGTCATTTAATTGCTGCCGATCTTATAATTGGATATTGAGATTCTGGGAGAGGATGCATCATGGTGCGGTGGTTGCGTTTGCGCGCGATTGTTTTCGTTCTTTTATTTTCGTGTATTTTTTTTCTTCCTCCTGTCGGTTTCATTACGCGGGCAAATATAGTGGCAGTCAACTGTCTATGATAACGATTCATTTATTCTGCGCGCAGCTGGCCTGCTTGCTACACCGCGAAAAAAAAGTGACAAAGCACGACGAGTCGTTGTTACTCAGTGTCTGCTTGGCGCCGCCTCGCCGAGATTCTTTCCGCTCCACTGCGAATTAAAATAATCGGGTTAAGCTGGCCGGGCTGTTTATCAACAAAGTGGCCCCGTTCGGGGATCGATCCGCCGACCCGAAAGTCCTAGAAGATGGGTCGTCGCGTGATTATAGGCCGGCCCGGAAACGGAGCGGCCCGGCCAGATGGGCACAGGAAAGGAAAACCGTTTCTGCACTCTAAAAGCCCTCGGAATTCCACCGCAAAAACAAACTTGAAGAAGCCCCGACGTAGGAACACGGCACTAACGCCATTTACCTCCGCAAAATTTGTTCGTGCTTATAGACAAATTCGTATTGTGCTTTCTTGCGCTGAATAAACAAGTGCTACAAATTCAATCTTTGCAGTGCTGTTAAATTTCAAAAATCTCGGAAATTACCGGAATATTTCCTCCGATCTTTGGAAAATTCCGAAACCTCGCATGTTTCTACTTTGGATGAGTTTCCAGCACGTATAGTAACAAAAAAATATTTTAGGAAACACGAAGCTTTTAGAAGTTCCCGAAGAAGCTTCAGGACGCACTTTCAGGATTTTCCAAATTTATTTTTAACAGTACAGTGGCTTTGGCATCTTTTGTTTTCGTTCCAAGTCAGCGCCGAAATTCAGCGAAGGTACACACTAAACCACACCACACCGGTCGCCGGCTCCCTCCACACCACTTGACACTCACCTCGAGTTCCTGAAGCCCGCCTTGCCGCAAGTGATGACGTACATCTTGTCGTCGGCCAACTCCAAAGTCCGGTGAACTCGCACCGCGACCGAGAGCGACCTCTCCTCCGTCTTCTGCAAAAGCGGAAAAGGGCGTCAGCCGCGTCAGGCAAGAGGCTACTTGAATAAAAAAGGTAGTGCGACCGTGAAAAGACAACTGAGATAAGGTGAAAAAAATAACACATTTCATTCAAAAAGTCATTTTAAAAAGGCGTTTTTCGCATAAGGCAATGGTTTGTTGGCACACGAGAGTGTTTGTTACTACTGGCCGTCCGGGGAATAACCCCCCTCCTTGCTCTCTGTATTAGGCCGATCGCACACCACCACCATTCCGCAGAGTGATCGTTAAATGAACGCTGCCTGCGCACTGCTAAAAAGATATGTGACACTAAAAAAAGGATTCCTGGTGGATTTTCCAGGAGTGCCTACGAGTCGGGCCGAGACAGGCGCGGACCCAGTGAGAAAGGGGGGACAATTGGGAACTCTAGGCCCTGAGATATCCGCCTGAAAGGTAGGCCAACAGCCACACTTGACTTTGCTCCTGCAAGAAGGCAAAAAGTGCTACTTTGCCCTCTTCCTGAGATCGGCTGGATCCGCCACTGGGCTGAGACAGCACTGTTTCTTGCGGAGCGCGAAGCGAGATGACCATAAACTCAGCCAACAATACACTTATCAGGAAAACGGCAGAAACGGCCGCGGAAAGCGCCATGCTTTCTGTCCATTCTGGCCAGGTGTGCTCGAAGCCACCTGCTGCTGCCTGCCCCTGGCCTGCCCCGCCCAGAGCAAATAGCGGCGGACTATCTCTCCGCCTCACTGTAAACCCCAGCGTCCTAAAGCCGTCACATAAAATTGGAGAACACAGGAATGCAGACGACTCTTTCATGACCGGGAGCTGTCAGCCCATGCCGTTTGTCCCCCCGGTTTTTCCGCGGAAAGAGGCTCCGTGCTGCTAATGAGGGTAGCGAGCAAATGAGGAATCAGGCAGGGCTAGCGCCTCACTGCTGCCATGGACCAGCCAGGTGTCATCGACCAGTAAGGTGTCAAGGGCCAGCCAGGTGCCATGAACCAGCAAGGTGACACGGGCCAACCAAGAGTCTTGGACCAGCAAGGTGTCATGGGACAGCCAGGTGCCATGCCAGGTGTCATGGGCCAGCAAGGTGTCATCGGCCAGCAAGGTCTCAATGGCCAACCAGGTGTAAAGGCACTGTTAAAAAAATCAGTTGTAATTTTCATAACATTGGTTGGCATTTTTTTTCACAAACAATTGTTATGAAAATTAAAATCACAAATGATTGTAAATTGTTTTACAATCACGTTATGAAAATTCATATCATGTAATGAAAATTCATATTCGCGTTTGCGAGGTCATTTTAGGGCAGTTAAGCAAAAGGACGACCAAGTGTTCATGTACATATATGAACACCTATGCGGCCTTATGCCATTTAGTGAACCGATTCTGCTTTGGATCATTGGGTTTCGAACCCGGGATCTTTGACTTGTGGTGCGCGCTCTTTACCGCTGTGCTACCACGTCCCACGGGAGGCGGAGGGTCAGCTGCCTGATGACTCTACCAGCGCCCCTTGGCCACGCCTCTTGAGCTAGTTATGAAATTTACAATCAGATTCGGAAAATTACTATTGTGTGCTCAAAATCAACACTTAAGATTCGCAATTTTCAGAACATGGTTTGAAAATTACCAACAATTGTCAATTTTACGAAATTGTTTCGAATTTTCGCATCAAGTTCTGAAAATTGCAATGTTTGTAAATTTCATATCCGTGTTCGGAAAATTGTCATCAAAATTGCTCTGAAAATTCATAATTTTTTTAACAGTGGGGAGAGCCAGGTTTCATGGGCCAGCTGGGTGTCATGGACCAGGAATGTATCATCGACCAGCTGAGTGCCATGGAATGCACGCTAAAATGCTTATGGACCTATGAATTTTTGTACATAATTACTGCTGTCGTATTTGTGGGGGTAGGTGTAAGTTATATATCGCTTTGTACGGAAATGAGATCCAATTGTTCATAGCTTACATACGCACAAATGTGGAAAGAGTTATTCAAAATGAAAGTACATAAACATTTGGCGTCATGGACCAGCAAGGTATCATGAACCAGCCAAGCGCCAAGGGGCCAGCTTGGTGTCATGGACCAGCCAGGCGCCATGGACCAGCCATGATCCGGCACGTTTTTGCCTTCATCTCATCTCCCTGCCGGTAGTCGTGACAGGAAGGCCCATGTCAGTGACCACCCTCGAGGCAATCATTGTCTCCTTTTCCAGAAAATTACAAAAAAAAGAAAAAAAATGAAGGGAAGGTGCCGGCAAAATGACGGCGCGTTTTGCTGACCCTTTGGCGATATTGAATTACCGCGAAGTGGCCCTCCGTCTTGACTCACGAACCCTCCAAACGAGCCGCCCGAGTGGCACGGAGTGGCCGCCATGCCGTGATGTAATTACGGCACCGCTTGCAGTGGCACCCACCGTAGGAACCGCCGGGGTCGATTCACCGGGCACGACCGACCGGGAGTCTCACAGAGGTACAAAGCATACAATGATTTTGTTATTTTTGGATTCGTCTGTTTTCTTTTCCTGATTTACACGCTTAAAACCTTACGAAGTATTTTGAGCACATGGAAGGTACAAACTTTTTAGTTTATGATAACGAAAAAAAGTTCGAAAATTACACGCTTTAACTATTTTGAGCAAACATAATACAGACAAATTTACTTTGCTATACGAAGAAATAGTTCGTAAATTACAAAGTATTTTCTTTGTAATCTAATGTATGCTCAAAATACTTTGTTATAACAAGCTGCTTTTCGTTGTAAGGCCTGAAATAGTTTGTAAGGGTTTCTCAGCGTAGGAAACTGTTTTGTTTTCTTTATAAGCTAAAGTGTGCTCAAAATACTTATATGAAGTTACTTTACTTCGTAAGTCTTCAATAGTTCGTAAGGTTTTCAGCGAAGATTTTTTAATTAATCTTGTTTGCGTACAATAAATTTTCCTATTGCGCCCCCACCGGGTACGACCCACCGAGTACGACCCACCTGGCACAGGCGCCTAGTACTACCCATTTGACGCGCCAAAGCAGCCAAAGCCACTACCGGTTTGGCTGGCATTCTGGCAACGGTACCGGCGCGGCTTGACGAAAAGGACGAGCGGTTGCTGAACGGCGAAGGCGCGTCGTCACCCACCAACCCGGTAGTGCTCATTCATAGGTCGAAAGGAGTGGCTCAATATCTCGACGCACGGCTGAAACAAATGATTCTTCATCGATTTTCTCCACTGGAATTTGAATTTTCTTTAAAAGGGTAAAAGTTATTTTTCACAAAGTAATTTTCTTTTCAAGAAATAATTGTTTGAAGAGAGTTGAGAAAATTTTGAAGCAGTCGAGGGAGTAGCTGAATGGTCCCTTATGGGCGGCCCCGGGGGCCCGGCCAGGCACGACCGGGTCTGTTCACATCGGCCGGCGGTCCTGGTAGGTCCTGGCGGGTCCTGGCGGGTCCTGGCCGGCAGGCAGGTTCAGTTAGCGCCGAGTCACTTGCGGCTTGCCCAGCTTGCAGCGCCCATGGCGTAGCCATGGCGTAGCCAGGCTCCATGGCATATCTGTGCAATGACTCGGCGTGGCGCGTCGGGAAGTACAGTCACCCCCAGAACCAGGAGGCAGAGGAAAAAAAAACACCGGGGAGAAACTAATCACTTTCCCACCCGAAAGGGAAATAGATCCACGTAATTCGGAGAAGTGATTGCGCTGAGGAAACGGAGACGACTGTAATGCGAGTGAGCGAACGCAAGGATCGAACGAAAGAACAAACAATAAATCGAAAAACCACGATGATTTTTACAAGCAAAGGCTCATCCATGCATAATTTTTATCCGATTTCTGTGTGGAACGGTGGAATCTGCCGCAACCGCTACGCGCTCCACGCCTCGCCAGAGAATAAACATAATTTATTTTCCTGCTGAGGCATGAGGAAGTGCGGAACCTGTGCGTCTGGAGCGGGAAAAGGCGAGCCGCCGAGTTTGCGTTGAAGACGCTCCTGCTATTTAGTTATCGCTGAAGGCATCAGCAGCAATCCCGTTGTCCCCGCGCGCCGTGCCTTGCAGAGTGGAGTGGACTAGGGTTGGGGTTGCACTCCAACAGCAGGGGTCATGTATCCATAATGAGAAATCATTCTCACTCTCTCTCTCTTACCCACACATACGCACACACACGGGGAGAAAACAAAAAAAAATCGGCACACGAAGTACTACATTAAGACGGTGACGCATTATTAAAAAAGTGGTTAACGGCGTTCTTTTACGTCTATAATAAAAGACAATCATGTATGAAAGCACCCTGTTTCATTGCAGTTCGTTTTATTTAATTTTTTTCATCTTCTGAGCGTTGTCACACTGTTAAAAAATTTTGCTGAAAATTCAGACTATTTTGACTGAAGTAAATATGCAGAACATCCTACTGAAAATTCAGACTAAATCCTGGTCTGAAATTTTCAGACTAACATAAGTCTTAACCTTTCAGACCGGTCTTAGTCTGAAAAATTCAGACAAAATTTTCTCAATTATTAGATTTTTTTTGTCAGAAAGTGGCAGCAGGAAATTTTCCCGTCACTCGGTGAAATGATAACGTTTGCATGCGAGTCTCAAAGGAGAGGCGCACTCCAAGGGACCGTCTAGGTTAAAAATCGAATGTAGGGAAATGTCCCCGAAGTAGGACTCTTCCCTGCACTCATCTGGGGCTGGGCTGACGCACCCAAGGAAACGACGGCACGGAGCCAACCGCGAGAGGTAACTTCAAATGTCAATTGTTAAACTCGCGCGTTTGCTACAGATATAAATTTGGTATGAAAGCGTGTGTTTCGTTTGTAGCCAATAGAGTGATAGCCATTTCGGGTTGGAAATATTAAAAATTTAACAGAAAAAGACGTTTTTAACAACAGCGGGCTCTTTACCGACACTGGCGCCATCTGGCGGAGAGAAAAATGCTTTCGTTTTGTTTGAAGTCCCCGAAACGGAGTCGGATTAAATTGAATGTAAAACTGATCTTGAGTAAACCCCATATTAGTTTGGAA